CGGTGGCGCAATCTGCTGCCAAGCAAAATGCACCAAAGCTTACCCGGGTTGCGAAATCTGCTCCCCTGCTAAAAGTTTAACCTTTAGCGGTTTAATGAAAAACCCATTAGTTGGCAACAAGTTAAAGTCCTAACAGCCAAGCAAAATGCACTAAAGTCACATCAAGTGTCCCCGGCCGTTTTTCCCCCCTCGAAGACCACCTCCAAAACTTGCCAAAAAAACACCAGCTGTCGATGCGAGGCCAAACATTCGAGTGACTGGTGTGGACGCTCTCCACGTTTGATTGGCAACACGCGAGCGTACCTAGACTCTCCATGACCCTCCAAAAATGGGGTCATGACTCATGACCCAGTTCTATTGGGAAATGACCCAGTTCTTTTGGGTAATTACCGCATTTTTAAAGGGTCATGAAGAGTCTAGGTAGGCCTTGCAAATGGATCAGATTCACTGGCAGTACCAAAGCACAGAGCTCGTGGCTCATCACATCAAAGCCCAGGTTCTGCCCAATGACCCCGGTAGGAAAGGACATCCTTGTGTTCCCTAAGCCTCCATTGAGGTTAGGACCTCCATTGGAAGGTTCTGGACCTCGAAAAGGGCCTTTCTGGGGTTGGGCATGTTTAGAGGGCCAGCCCAACAAAAAGGGATTTCCAAACAATCCACGATTTCCTTCAGTCCCCTGGAGAAAACAAAACAAATCCAGCGCTAGATTCGTTTTAACCTGAACCGAAAAACAAACAAATGAAAATGTTGCCCAACCCTAAGGGTTGTGACCCCTTCAATGCACCCCTGGACCCGAATGGAGAAAACCAGTTCGGGCCCAAAAACCATCCATCGACCCTTAGACCACACACACACACAAATGAAAAACCACCATGTCACCTTCCCCGTTTTTTTGTTTTTATGTTTTATTTGTTTTCTCTGGGCCCAGTTTTGAGAGCCCAAAAACCATCCATCGAGCAGTAGGATATTTTAAAGATTTGAAGGGCGCCATCTGCGAACCTCACTCCAATCTCCAACCCCAAAGCCTCTTGAGGATTTTTTGGGGGCCCCAACCGGGTGTGTGTGTGTGTGTGGTTTTTGTTTTTGTTTTTTCCGGGTGTGCGGGGGAACCAGAAGAGAAACCAATTGAGGGTACCTCGAACTACCAGAGAAGGATTTCACCCCAATTTTGTAGGCATCCCTTGTTCCGGGTAGTTTGAGGGTGTAGGTTCATTTGAGGTCAACAAACGGGTGTGGGCTTACAAAAACAAACGGAGGTGGGCTTAACAAAAAGAAACGGGTCCCCAACTACAATCGGGGCGTGCCCAAAATTTGGGGGGACCTGTTTCTTTCCATAGCTTTTCAGGAAGACCCAGAATGAAGAACCAATCCAGTCTTAGGCCGCTGTTTTGTCAAAAAAAACCCACCAAATTTGCTTCATGCCCATTTTTGTGACCCCGAAAAAGGTAGGTCGTTTGAACCTAGACTCTCCATGACCCTCAAAAAGTGGGGTCATTACCCAAAATAAAGGGGTCATGACCCCATTTTTAAAGGGTCATGGAGACTCTAGGAACATATTGAAGCCCTGTGCCACAGGAATGGTCGTACCTACATTCGAAAAGTGCTTGGGGAGATTGAGTTCTCGAGGTGCATTTCCATGGGGGGAAAAAAAGAAAAAGAAAAAAAACAAACAGAATCGGCCTCCGACTTTTGGTGGAACCCAAAACCAAAAAAACAAGAACCTGGAGTCTCCATGAGCCTTTAAAAATGGGTGCATGACCCCATTATTTTGGGTAATGACCCCATTTTTGAAGGGTCATGGAGACTCCAAGAAGAAGTAAGCGCACTGCTGGGCAACTGGGTTCTTTTTCATAGACCAACCACTGGTTTAAGGGGGAGAAGTCAGATTCGGAGACTTCAGGTACAGCTCGAAGCCAAACATCTTTTCATCGAGTCGCGACGCTTCCATTCGCTTTTTCGCCCCTGGAATAAAGAAAACAGTAGAACAAGGCAAAACTGCTCAAGCCCCTGATTCCCTCTCAAACCCAAAGAGAAAATTCAATTCATCCAGTCGTGAAATGGATTCCTTCTGAACCCAACAAGTGAACGTAATATCTTCAGCCAAACCAAGGCGTGTCCTGGTCGAAAAGGTCGAACTGAGTCTTCAGGAAGCACAGGTGCTGCAGGCCCATCCCCATCCTCCCTGCGAGGACCTGGTTTCCCGAGCCCCCCAGCCCGCGGCCCCAGAAAAATTCGGGTGAGATGGACTCACCTGGAGTGGCCCCGTCCCAAGACCTGGACTCTCCGAATCTGACCCTTAAAAAATGGTGGGTCAAATTGCCCCAAAATTATTGGGGTCAAATGGGCCCTTTTTCCAGGGGTCATGGAGATTCTAGGTACTTGTAACCCTTGCCTGGCTCCATGGCAGGGCTGGTTTGGATCACTTGTTGTCTTTGGGTTGTTTATTGCCCAAAACACTCCAAACTTCCTGGAGTCTCCGAATCTGATCCTTTAAAAATTGTTGGTCAGTACCCAAAAGAAAGGGGTCATGACCCCTTTTTTTCAAATCATGCAGAGTCTAGGTTGTTATTTTACTTAAACTTATTTGAGGCCTTTGGGGGTCAAAGGCCCTCATATTTAGGGTATTGGGCTCCCAGAGATCCCAAAACAATGGAAACTTGTTGTGTACCACTAAAACCATCTTCAAAAATACTCGGCTGTCCGTGTTCTAATGCCCGTGGCTAAAAGTGCATAACTTGTGGAATAAATTCGGAAACCCACGCACTATAAGTCACAAAACCAACTCAACACCGACAAAAGCTATGGAGGGGATTGCTGGGAACCATCGAAACGATCCAAGTGCAGGACCTTAGGGACTAAGACAAGGTACTTGGACTCAGAGTTCTCGAGCCGGCTGGGGAAGTTGGGGCTGGAGTCAAGCAAGGCCCACATCCAGTCCAGGGTACACTGGTCTTTTTGTGTATTTTTCCTGGCTGTGCATCACATGTTTGTCCACCTGGACCCTCAAACTACCCGGAAAAAGGAGATATTGCCCCACCAGTCTGGAGTAAAATCCCTTTTCTATGGGTGGTTTGAGGGTCCGTACCCCAAAAATACCACATCAACCCCAAAATACATTTGGAGACGCCAATTTACATGCCAGCATGCTTCTAATTTGATGCCTTCAGCGCTCATTTATTTTATAGCGAACCCCCTCCTAAAAGAAAAACAACAAGGGAGCATGGGAAAGCAGGGGCCACCGGAGCCTATCACTACCCCCCACCCGGAAAAATAAATAAATAAATAATGTCTGTAATTCGAACGTCAAACAAACGTCACACACTTTTATTAGTCACTCGAACTGACAGGCCTTAAACAACCGTATCTTTCCACTCTTGGCATGCGAGCCCAACACTTTCTTGTGTAGCAACCAATGAAAACTAAAAAAACCTTTAAAAAAAACTAAAAGCCATGAGCAGAACCAAAACACCCTCAGTTGCCCCAAATTGGACCCAGAAATAAACGGGATCACCTTGTGAGAGCATGACTATGGCAACCCAACATGGGAAAACCAAAAGGTCAGATCCGGTCGAGTTGCTTTGACTGAGAAAACAAACACGCAGAAGCAGAACCAAACATCTCAACCCAGAAAACTGAACAACCAAAAAACATGAGCAGAACCAAACAGCCAAAGCAAAAACGAAAAACCTGAGACACTTCTGCCGCGACCATGTGTCAGGTCACAATTCAGGAATCCCGCCTCGAGCTCCTGTCGGGACATCTTGTACTTCCGGAGGAAGGAGATATCTAAGTCGTCCTGACTCGCGACTCGCCCCGCAGTGGAGTTCTACGGGGAACAAGAACTCATCGGCACCGGACTTTTTGGTAGGCCTTCAAAGGGAAACCCCCCTGCAAAAAAAAGAAACAATCCAGATGCCCAGTGGCCATGGGGAAAAAAGGGCATATTTGTTTGGTTGCTTCAGTTTAAAGGGAAACCCTTCCAAAAAAAGAAGAAAAAAAAAGGGCGCCACTGGGCAACTGGGACAAGGCCAGCATCCCTGCACAACTGTTGTTCACCATGTCCGAAATTCCAAGTGATGTCCAACAAGCGGCTGTTGGGGAGTCCTGAAAAAGGGTTCCAAGTTTGAGAAAAACACCAAATAGAACTTACATGACCCAAAGTTTAGATCCGGGAAGGGGACACTGGCCAGACCAGAGTTGTGCTTCTTGCAGGTCAACAAGACTACAACTGTAACTCTAAAAGGGCGTGATAATTGACCGTCCCACGTCTGCCACACGAATTGCGCCTGTTAATTCGAGCCACGGTCGACCGGATAGTCTTTGGAAAACGCCCAAGAAGCATAAACTTATTGTCTGACCGAAGTTTCCGGCAACTTGTGCTAGGTAGGGCTCCTTGTGTCTGGACCACTGGACCTACCGGCGGTGATATACCCAACATCCATTATGTGGGCATGTGCCAAATAGGAGACCCCCAAACAAATGGCGGCTTTCGTGTTGTTTTCCCGCTGAACCAACCCCAAGAAGGGTACCCTCTAAAAAATATTGTGGATCGAAGCAAGCAGTACGTTCGCGTGCGTGTGAACATGTATGAAAATGCATCGCTCCACTCAATAAACAAACCGTAAAACAACACCAGCATATACCAGCATTAAACGTTTACCCTTGCTTCATAAACACCTCAGACTCAATTAATCTAGAGGGCCCCTCAAGACCCATTTGAAAGGGATCCCAGGAATATTGAGTGGGGGGCTGTCAACGTCCCAACGGAACTGAATTAGGAAGATCCGTATCATTCCAAGTGGCTGATCCGTGTTGGTTTCATCCCAGAGGCTACAACCTATTTGAGTGTGCAGGGGTATTTTAGGGGCCAAACAATCATGGGTAGAACTTACCTGGGTCCTGGGAAAAGGATGATCTCCACCATGTCCTTACAGACCTTGTAGCTCCGAAAGGCTCACAGGCTTTAAAGGCACATCTGTACCTAGAGTCTCCTTCTGACCCCTAGAAAAGGGCCCATGACCCGAATCTGAATTTTGGGCAATTTGACCAACCATTTTTGAAGGGTCAGAAGGAGAGTCTAGGTAGAATTTCCCCCTCCTAGGCTGCCTTCCAACCACCAGCTAATTACACTCCCCAGGTTTAGACACATACACCGGATTGCCGAGACGAATTCCCACGGATCTCTGTTCGGCCCGTCCTGTGTCACCTCTGGCTGGGCAGCCGCCACTTCGATCAACTGGCGAAGCATCGCGTTCCAACTTACAGGCCCCGTGATTTTGTCATGATTAAAGTCCCCCCCCGTAGAGGAATGCAATCTCATTTTCTGACTTTGATAACATCCAGAACGAGTCAAAATCATACCCCCAGACTTTGCTTGTCCACTTCCAAAAAGTCGGCCATCTTTACCCAAACCGATGTTCGGACCACACATATCGGCAAAACCAACAGGCATGGCTACTAATGGTTCCATTTTCGAGAAACGGAAAACGTTTTCCACCCCCAGTCAGGTTCTATATTTGTGGGTTGGTCATCCCACGATACTTGGTGACTTGCACACGCATATTTCTATTGCTGTGACTTCTTGTTGGCCCTTGAGTGTGACTTGTGGTGCCCACAAAAAGGGATTGTATGGGAAAGTGATGAGTCGCCACTGCATACTGTGCTCGGGTGAGCCAAGCGTTTTGTGCAACCGCCTGTTGCCACAAAAGCTTGCTGGCGTTGCTTAGCAAAGTCAAGTCTGCTGTGATGCGCACCAGTGAATGCACCTGGAGCGAGCTCAGCATCCAACCCCCCACACCACTGGGAGGCGGAGGAGCTGTGGAAGAAAAGTTGTCAGTTCTTCAGTGACTCTGGAAAAAAAGGGAACCCTTTTTGGGGAATATTCCATTTTTAGTGGGGCCCCCGGAAAAACAAAAAAAGTGTTGGGAAAAGAATTGGTGCCACTGAACAACTGAGTGTCGCAAACGCTGTGAGCAGCGAGACCTCCTAATGGCTGTTTTGGGGCCATTTGCCAGCCATGGGGTGCGGGACATGGTTAGGGTTCTTTTGGCTTCCCCTAAACCAACCCTAAACCCACCCCAACCTTAAACCCAGTTTAAACCCACCCTGAGCCCTTCAAATACCAACCAAGATACTCTTGGAACGAAGCCTGTGAGGTCTTTGGATGGGTAAGCAGGCTTTCTGAAGGCCTTCCAGTGCTTTCTCAGGCATTAGAAGGAGCTGTTCGAGCAAACGCAAGCTTTGCCTCGGACTTCATTAACGCTATCGCAGTGGCAACATTCCCACTGGCCCCCGGCCTGTTGATAGTCTCTTCTTCGCAAGCTCAGGAAAAGCGCCAAGTTGGAGCCCTTGGGTTACACATCGTCCCTTATTCCGAGTCTAGGCAGGCCCGGGAGTCCTTGGTCAAGCTGTTCTCCCCATTGGGCTTTCGCGGGACCCTAGGCCAAGGGATCGGTCCCTTCAAACCCAAAAACGCCAAGCGGGCGACGGTTCAGCCCGTGAAAGTCGCCGCCTGACGTACCCGCAGATTCAATGCGCTGCGCGGCCTAAGTCGACCAAGCGGCATCCAGGTTTGTCGCCACTCGCGTTCAAAGCCAATAAGAAACCGACAGCCCCGGGCACATTGGGGTGTGTCGGACAAAACTGGCCCGCACAAGTGGGTACCTAGACTCTCCATGGGGGTCATCACCCAAAACAAAGGAGTCATGACCCTATTGCTTAAGGGTCATGGAGAGCCTAGGTAGCTTTCCCTTTCCCTTTGAAGCACCCCCGCAAAGAAGACAAACCCAGATCTATTTCTTCAAAGACCCGAGCCTACGGGTTGCCACCGGCTGTGCCATGGGCAAATTACCAAAAGGAACAAGTCACCGTTCAGGCTACCAAAGCAAATCACTTGGCTCGGTCCCGTCTACTCTCCAAGAAACAAACATGGAACCTCCACAGGGCTCCCCTGAAAAGAAAATCGGTCTTCCAGGAACCCCATGTGCAGGGGTAAGTATCGCAGAAACTAGCCCAATATTGAAACCCTTGCTGCAGCGCTGGCCAACCGCATTCCGGACGGCGACGCCACTTTTTGGCAAATCGATCGACTGCGTCGAATATGATCACGGGCGGTCATTGTCCCTTTTTTCCTTCGTCCCAGGTGGAGCAACGACTGGTGCGGGGTCCCACACTTCCATTTGATTACCTAGCATTCTCAACAAAACATCGAACCATACACAGCCCCAACAGCCCCACACCCGGAATCCGAAAGCCATAGTCGCTGTGCAGGAAACAAGGGGTGTCTGTTTTCTGGGAACCCTCTTTTCATCGGTTCTCAAGGGCAAACAAAAAACAAAAGGAAAGCATCCATTCCTTGGCGGGTACACTAAAAAAAACTAGAGTCTCTATGACCCCTAGAAAATGGGGTCAAGACCCCTTAATTTTAGGCAATTGACCCCATTTTTTAAGGGTCATGGAGACTCTAGGCAGACCCAAATACATTCCGTATCATTCAGGTACTCAGGGCATTTTTCATCAAACTACTCGGTGGGATAGCTCTTGGTTTGCTTCCAAGAGCATCACCACACTGGGGATGCTGCTTCCTCAGTTTCCGCAAAGCTCCAACCAAACATGCCAAGTACCAGCCCTGATCATGTCCCCACACCGCCAACAGGAGAAAAAAGGCACAGTGCTTTACGCTCCTGGGAGGTCTGAACTGAAGACTTGCTAGAATGGTTCCCGACCCGACTTATGATAGAAATTCAACTGAAAATGAGCATAGAACTCCAGCCAAAAACACTCGGTTGCTTTCTGCTCCCCTGCCTGCTAAAAGTGACTCACTTTTAGTGGTTTAATGGAAAACCCATTAGTTGGCAAAAACAAAAAGTCCTAACATCCAAGCAACATAAACAAGAAAAACATTTAAAGCGGACAGCACATCAGAGGCTTTCATGAGACCATCCGCAGCAAACCCCTTTGCGCTCTTGCCATCCTTGACAGCGCATCCTGTTTAAATAACTTTCTGCTTCACCGAAACCCTTCCGGCGGCGCCGCGCGCGCAAGTTCAGCCCAAACCGGGAAGGCGGGGGGGCTGGCGGGGGATCGGGGGGGCACTGTTCGTTTTTGTTTTTTTTTTGCAATTTCCGAGACCAATTACAGGAAAACAACCGAACATCATGACTTTGTGAAACCACCAGAAACCTCTGAAATGGGTGTGTCAGAATGGCGACCCTAAATTGGTGTGTTGATTTTGTTTTAGATCAAGCCAACCTTAAAAAAAAGGGTATCATCACTAAAGCAAGCACTCAACACCCAAACAGTGGAGAAGTTTATCCGGGTTCCCTATATTTCCCCTAAATCATCACTCCTATACAAAAAAAACCCACTTAAAAGGGGTCTCACAATGAATCTTTGAAACCTGCAAAAGTGGCAATACTGGGAACCCTGCCCAAATGGTCAAAATAACGCGACCCTGGTTCCTCCCACCTCCAGCCTCCGACCGGCAAAGCGTCGTTTCGGGCTCCCGGCGGAGGGGATTCGCCTCGGAGAGTCAGAAAGGTCCAAAAGGGAATAGCAAACGACTTTGTTGTTTGCAGCCCAGTAAACCCGAACAGCTTCAACCAAAACCCAAAACCACAAAAAACCCAAGAAACTAAAAAACCTGCCTTCTTTTTTCCCCCAGAAACTAAAACAACGACAAAAACCACCTGCCAAGAAAACGGCGAAGTCCCGATGAAAAACGCCCCGCACGTCGCCACATCCAAGTCCCGTGGGAAGCGTTTCGCCCGACATGTCGCACAAACTTCGGGCTCCGAGCTGCCGCTGTCCATGGAGCCACCTTCCCAAGGCTTCCCAAGGCGGCCGTCCCGGAGACCAGTAGCCACCCCGAGCCACAGAACTTGATCCCAGGGCGGGATTTGTGTTTCTCCTTTTTTACCTAGACTCTCCATGACCCTGAAAAAGTGGTTGCACTAATAACATTTACCTAGACTCTCCTTTTAAAAAATGGTTGGTCATTGCCTAGAATTAAGGGGTCAAATGGGCCATGACCCTTAAAAAATGGTGGGTCATTGCCGAAAATTAAGGGGTCAAATGGGCCCATTTTCTAGGGGTCATGGAGACTCTAGGTATCTTGCTCGGTTGCGAAATCTGTGAAGCCCTGCTAAAAGTGACTCACTTTTAGTGGTTTAATACGGAAAACCCCTCTTCGTTCGCGCAAAAGTTATTCAGTCCTAACATCCCTTGGCAAAATGCGCTAAAGTTGGGTAAGTTTTGCTTGGGTCTTCTGGTTTGCACTTCAACTAAATCAAACAAATCACTTTGGGTTGTGGACATGTCTGTACCAATGGAATCCCGAAAACATGCTTTCAAAGTACAGTCCGCGGAAGTGGGAATGAACATCCTTTATCGGCCTGGAGCGCCTGGAGGTAGGAAATTAGAATTCAAGAACAACATGTATCGTGCAGGGCCAGGGTTTGACCAACCCTTGCCTCAACTTGCTGGTGCGATACGCGGGGAATGAGTTGGAATGAGCCTTATAAACCATCCAACTGGTGGTTTCCTTTGAGAGAATAGCTGATTCCCACATTCCCTGCCTGTCGCACCAGCAAGGTAAACGGGCTTACTAGTGTTGAAACCACGTCCTCTTGGTTTCCCTTTGGAGTTGCTTGTTTCAAGGGCGCTTCTTACGCCCTGACAGGGACACCCCCTGATTTGCGGGTCCAACATACCCAGCTGGACCTGTGAGGTTCACAACTTTGGGGTGTCAAAGAGCAACCCCTGTGAAACGGATTGCGGTCGTCCTGGCGTCACCTGCAAAGGGTGCCAACTCAAAAATCAGACGCCCATGTTGCAGCCAAGCCTGTGATACGTTTGGTAAGCCAAAAGGCACCAAAAGGCACCCTTAGATGCTGCAACCAGAAGCCCTCACTTTAACCCACCAAAGCCTCAGTGGGTTGTCACCAGTAGGTCCCCATTCAGCGTTTTCCAAGCAGGTTGTAAGTCCCCGCGTGGGCTTTTACCAGGGTACTAGCAACTTAAGTCCCCAAACCAACTAAATATGGTGGAGCAAACCCTCCTCCCCCACATCTCCGTTTGCTTCCCCAAAAAACAGCCCACAGGTTGTAGCTGGCGCTGTCCAAACTGATCCCCTGCTAAAAGTGACTCAAACCAACTCAAAACAACTCAAACCAAACCAACTCAAAGCAACTCAACACAACTCAACACATGTAAACAAACAAAATAAAAAGAACTCAAAACAACTAAAAGCAACTCAAAGCAACTAAAGACAGTTCAACACTACTCAAAACAACTCAAAGCAACTAAAAGCAACTCAAAGCAACTAAAGACAACTCAACATAACTCAACAAACCCACCAGGTTAGTTCCCCAAATTGGGCCTTAAGATAAAAGACAATGACAAAACTATTTGCCGTAGTGAAATGGATTCCCTCTACAATTCAAGATATTTATTTCAGCAAATGAAAGTTTACCTGGATTGAATTGCTTCCCTCGAATTCGTGCTTTGGGGCCCGGTGGTTTGGTGGTCCGGAGGTCCCATTTACCCTCTAGAACCAAACCCGTTCAAATCCAAATCCTAAACCAGCGGGCTCCAAAAGAAACATCGGGGGATACCTGAAGCAAGGCACAAACCCCAAAAACAACGGTAAAACCCCAAAAAACACTGAAGACACCGGTAAAACCACCCAAAAACACTGAAAACAAAGGTAAAACCCCAAAACACTGAACTGAACCAACACCAGAAACAAAGCACAAGCCAAAGCAATGGTACAACCAAAAAACACCGAGCTGACCCAACAAAGAAACCTGACACCAAACCCAAAGCCCAACCCCCCCCCCAAAAAACAGAAGAAGAAAAGAAACACAGAAACCTGAAGCAAAGCACACGCCGAAACCCAAAACCCCAATAAACATGCGTTGCCTGACACAAACAAAAATCCAACGCCCAACCAACAAAAACTCCCTCCCAGCGCTGGCCTTCCTCCTTGGCAGCCTGTTCCGGCTGGCCAGCGGAACCCCGTTCAAAAGGACCAAACAAAAACAACGAGATACTGTGAATGGTTGCGAAATGGGTGCGGCTCAAAATTAAACAGGAGGGGCAAACCGCAGGTTTTGGTCCATGTTTCCACTTACCAGGGTTCCATTTTGAGTACCGGTTTTTTGAGCCACAGCTAAATCAATTTGCACCACCTAAGAAACCCGGGAATGATTTGATTCCCCAACGTAAATACCGAGAAACGTTATAGTTTCCTTTGCTTTCAAAGTGGCGCAAGATTTCGTCCATCCACAGTATGAGTGCCTGGACCCTACTACCCACACAAAAAATGGTGGCTACCCCCGACAATGTCCCACTTGTGCTGGTAGTTTGAGGGTCCGCGTGTGTCTTTTTGTTTCGTTCTGCGATCCTCCAAAAGGATCAAGCCTTGTTCGCATGCAAAGGGATGGACCTCACTGCACGAAGTTTGTGGGGGAGCCAACAACAAAAAGCAAACAACCCCAGAATTCAGACATACCGGACAGGGCTCATGGCAACAACACCAGGCCCACCGCCAAAATGGCTTAGGGTTTCCTTCGAATTGTCATTGAAAACCGACCCCGAAAAGGGTACGCTCAACAAAAGAGTACCCTATGAAAGATAGATCCTGAAACTCCCTAGACTCTCCTTCTGACCCTTAAAAAATTGGGTCATTACCCAAAATAAAGGGGTCATGACCCCTTTTTCAAGGGGTCGTGGAGAGTCTAGGTAGATCCAAGTCACCTGAAACTCCTGACAATCGCCGTCTTTGACATAGCCCTGTAGAAGGTCCATTCCAAACCTGGGAATCAAAGGATCTTGCCGCACTCTCTCATATAGGTGTCTTTGTTAGGGAAAGGAACACCACTTTTGTTTGTTTGCTCTTCTTTTTTGGGGGGGGGGTCTCTAAAAAAAGATACATCCATATGGCATGGTCAAATCTTCTGTGGATAGCCATGGCCTTATATAACGGTTGTCTACACTCTGTAGGGGTTGATGACCAACCAGCCCCAGGGAATTGTTCACCAGAACCATTGTACATATACTCAATGTATACTCACCCACCAACCCGAAACATCAAGAGCATACGTGTCCTTTGGTCACATAGATTGCCTTGGTAAATGAAATAAAGCCCATCAAAACCAGTGCCATTTATTTCTAATCAATCTAACGTTTAAACAAAAAAAACACACCTACTAGGTCCTCCAGTAGAGAGGTTAGGATAAGGGTGCCCCTTTTTCTGTACTCTATTTTAGTAGGGGAACCCTCCCACAAAAGGGCAAGAGGGCAATACTGGGGGACCTAGGGCGCTGTGGGCCTCGACACTGATCGCAGTTTTGGCAAACCCAGCAGCCTCCAGGCGCAGCGTCTCGAGCTGTGTATCTGGAGTGGCACCTGTCGCACGGGGATGTCTGCACCTAAATAGAACTTGGGTTGGACAATTGGGGCATAGTAGCACACACGCAATATATACTTGGCTGAACAAAAATATAGCGATACAAAGATATTTCTGCATACACCTATCTATTGTATAAATACAAATTCCCAAACTGGGGAGGAAAATGTGAGCTCGGTTGCTTTCTGCTCCCCTGCTAAAAGTTTAACTTTTAGCGGTTTAGTGGAAAACCCATCAGTTGGCAAAAAGTTAAAGTCCTGACAGCCAAGCAAAATGCCCCAAAGTGAGTGTACATTGGTTTGGGGCTAGTGAAAAACACTCTGAGCTTCAAGGAAGATTTGCCGCCCGGATCGACCCTCCAAGGCGTCCCTGATTTAACCTGCGCCAGTGAGGACCGCAGAACGGGAGGTGTCCATTTGGTGTTGTTTGCTGGTTCTGAAAGAGCCCCTGACCAAACAACTAGGAGCAGACATGGGTGAGAATTGGGACCCGCCCGCACCCCCCCCTAAAAAATATATAAAGCAAAACACCACGGGAGGAAGACAGGGATTGATAGCGCGCCTTTTTCATTTCGGGGATTCGCTACCCAAAGGAACAAAGAGGTGCTGATGGTCGTCCGGGTGTCGAGCCCCGAGCCATTTGGCTCGCGGAAAGGAAAGCAGCGGCATGGGCTCCCCACACGTGCACCGCAGGTCTTGCGGCAACTTCAGTCCACATACCCCAAAGCCCACATAGGCCTGCGGTTGGGAAAATAGATGGCCCTGGTGGATGACCAAACCAATAGGTCTACCAGGGCCCTTTATTTCTCAACTGAACTGAACAAGAAGGATACCTATGAAAGCCAACAGCTCCCTAAACTTCACGGCGACATGGAAAAAAACAAAAAACGGGGGCCGAAGAACCGCCAAGGCCGGGTGGAGGACATCCCCGAAAATCCGCCGGCGAAAAAACTTGGAAGCAAGCTTCGGGGCACCTTGGACATGCTGATGGACGCAATCCATTTCGCACCACCCAACAAAGCTCGGGATGATTCGAGTCCCCAAGGTAAATACCAAATAATGGTTGACCATTGTTTCAAAGTGGTGCGAAATGGATTCCGTCCATCCACAGTACTGTGGATGGACGAAATCCATTTCGCACCACATGGAATCCATGGGAAACCGTTGTTGGTTGGCAGTTACAGGGGAATCATCCTTTCAGGCCTTGCAAGGTGATGCAGGATTTCGTCCATCCACAGTACTATCTGTAACCAGCGTCTGCTGATGGTTGGGAAGTCATGAGTTATCTTATTTGCGAGCGCACTGTTGGTCTGAAGGGGGCAACAACGCCTGAATCGCCGAGTATGGGGGCCTCATCTTTCAAAGAAATGGATCCTTTCAACGGAACCTCCATTTGCTTAAGCCCCTGGACAAAACTAGAAACATGTGCGAAATTCCCGTCCACAGCGGGAGAACATGAAACACATATACTGACACGCCAATGGAGGGAGGACAAATCAGCTCAGGTGCCCGTGGGAAAAAAGGGCACCCCGTTTTTGTTGTTTGAGTTTAAAGGGGAACCCTTACCCCAAAAAAAATTGAAAAAAGGAAGCAACCCACTGGGCAACAGAGTCACTGGGGTTGGGGTTCTGAAGTTCAATGGATCTTTTCTCAAAACCAGCGGGTTTTGATTCGTTCCATTGGAACATCACTACGGATTTCCAGGGGTACATGTTTGGGACAAGGTAGACGTTACACGTGGGTGATTTCCCAGAGGATAGAAACCGATTCCTGGGCTCGAGTCCACCCTGTAGTCAAAGAATGACTGCTCGAAAAGATGGAATTTCCTCAAAAGGCACCTTGGCATGTGGAAAGAACGACTACTTGCGGTTTGCCCGTGGCTCACTTCTGATCGAGTGAATGGCCCGAAACAAGTCCAAACTGTATGTTTTCCACTAAACTCGTCTTCCCAAAAAGTTTAAAGTCCATGACCTGAGGAAGTGAGATGGTGATAAGCGGCCCAACCCCAGTTACCCAAGTCAAATAGCTATGGCTATAACCTACTTATCTCACTTCACAACCCTTGGTATGGTTGCATTCTGTTTTTGCAGCCCCCTACTAAAACGAACACAAAGCTGCAAAATAAGAAGAACAGCCCCCTACAAAAACGCACAAAATGCTAAACACAAAACACAAACAACCTACCAAGAACAGTGAAGCATCCACGTGGCTTGGACATCCATGTGGGCTGAAAAAAAAACCGTGGACAACCCTTGTATCCTTATGCCTCAGTATCGGTCAGTATCGGTTTCTTTCCTCTGCATCGGTTTGCAGTGTTTTGGCAGCTCTGGCTCGTAAGTCGCGACTTTTCCGTACAAGTGTAGTATGCGAAGTACGCTCTGCCAGCTCCCAGCTCCAGCTGGAAAGTCGCAACTTTTCAGTACAAGTGCAGTACACAAAGTACATTTTGGCAGCTCCAGCTGGAAAGTAGCAACTTTTCAGTAGTATGCGCAGTACACTTTGGCAGCTCCGGCTCGAAAGTCGCAGCTTTTCAGTGCAAGCAAGTGTAGTATGGTGTAGTATACGAAGTACATTTTGGCAGCTCCACAGCGAAAGTCGCAACTTTTCAGTACAAATGTAGTACACAAAGTACATGTTGGCAGCTCCAGAGAAGGCTGCAGGGCAGCTGGTTGGATTCGGCATGGCGGCCAATGAGTTGGGTATCGGTTGGGTATCGGTTTGGGTATCGGTTTGGGCCCTGCAAATTTATGATTCCGCAATCTTGGTTTGCGACAACAACTAGGACCTGATGTGTGTCTTCATGCCTTCTGGGGGTGTCGTTTTTTTTTTTTTTTCCTCTGTATCCGTTTACAATGGTTCTGGCCTGCGAAACAAGTTAAGGGACGGCCCCTTACATAACGAAAAGGCGCGGGGTTGTTTTTTCAGCCTATGTGGGGTAGTCCTGTCGTGTCCCCAACTGAAGCCGCGGCCCAAAGAGAAGCCCACGCTGCGCCGCGAGGTGTGCAAGTCCCTGGGCGAATCTCTGCTACGTCCTGTTGGTGTCCCTATCTGGAGTCTCCGGATCTGAGCCTTCAAAAATGGGTCCATGACCCCATGATTTTGGGTAATGACCAACCATTTTTGAGAGAGTGGACAGTGGTTGTTGGGCGCACAACCTCCATGGCGCACCTTTCTGATTTTTGATTCGGGTCAGAAGGAGACTCCAGGTAATCAGCTTATGTAAGGGCAAGTCCAAAGGAAACCGAAGCCATTTTGGGGGGTCCAATTTCTAAAACAGACACAGCCATATTAAGTGGTGGCTTGGATTGGTGGGTTTGGTGGGGTCGGGTTTGGTCGTTTCCTCTTCAACCCTCCACAAGGAGCAGGGACCCGTTCAAATCCCAAACCACCAATCCAAAACACCAACTAAGGGTTACGAGATTTAAACCCACCTAAACCGGGTACCGAGCCTCAAGAAACACGCACAACCGCTTTTTGGGATCGAGGGGGATTCATCGCAGCCCTCAAACAAACTCTATACTGTGGACTGTGGATGACCAGCGCTCAGAAGCCCTACGGAATGATTTGGATTCCCACGTAAATACCAACCAACGTTGTGGTTTCAAAGATGGTTTCAAAGCGGTGCAAAACGTGCTTGGCCCCCGGAATTAACCCCAGGCAAGGGGAATCCGAAACTCGGCCAAACGGCTTGACCCGGCCCCGTGTTTAAAACACTGCTGGTCAACAGGGGACATGAAAGGCAAAAGGCAAAGGAGGTAAGCTAAGACTGATGCACAGAAACTCATTTGTTTGAGGAACCAGTGCATTTGGGCTCCGTGTTAATTTGCAACGAACCGATCGACCAGTGACCATCCAAACCGATAACGACCTGCAAAGCCGATAGAAAAACAGCTCAAAACCGATGCCCAGTGCCCACATCTATTTTGCAAGTTCAACAGGACCCGTCCAAAAAATCAAACTAATGGGAACCACAGAGAAACAAACGTGCTAGTGTGGATGGTTGCGAATCCAATTCGCACCACTTTGAAGCCGTGGTTGTAGGAGATTCATCATTTCCAGGGTTTCTTAGGATTCTTAGGTGGTCATCCACAGCAGCAGAAAAGGGAAGTTTCCCTCCAAAGGTGATGAATCCGCCTCAAATCAAACCAGGCGCTTGAACCGGGTGCCCATCAGTAGAACCGCTTACTAAAAAGGGCCACTGGGGGTGTTGGGTAAGTCCCGATTGGAACTTGAACTCTGCCAACACCCTAGTTGCATCCATCAAAGCAAACTTGCTAATCAGATTCGCACCTTGAACAGTAATTTTCCAGACACACACACACACCAAAACAAGGAGGCCAACACCTTTTATGATTGTTTCACAAGCCGTGGGGCAAGCCCCCCCTTAGTCAATACACGTAAAACTCACAGCACCGCAATATTTCGCCGCAGCTTGCGAGGGCTCAGCTCGTGCTCCTCAAGTTGATTACCCCTTATGCTTGCAGCCTCTAATGTGAAGCGGCATAGAGTGCCGGGTCCACCACTCCAAGCTGTTTCACGTCAAACTATCACTTCCTGAACTGGCCAACAACAAGTCCAACTTGTTGTTTACCACTAAAATATGTGTTTCCCCCAAAAAACAAGGTCCAGGAACTCGGGAAGTGAGAATTCTGATCTTGAAGTGCAGCGAAGCGCAAGGTAATGCTCTGGAGCCATCCTAAGAACCTGCCCTTCTGGCAAGGTAATGCACTAAGACAGAAACTTGGTTGCTTTCTGCTCCCCTGCTAAAAGTGACTAACTTTTAGTGGTCTAATACGGAAAACCCCTTTTCGTTGGCAACAAGTTATTCAGTCCTAACATCCCTTGGCAAAATGCACCAAAGCAAAGGGGAGGTAGGGCACATCTGGGGGCTTTGCATCGGCATCGTTCGAAGGCTTAGCTGCGACTGAGCCCGTGATAGCCAGAACCTCCAAGACCCAAGGCTTGCAAGGCGGAGCACCTCTTCTTCTTCTTACGTTAGGTGGCCTTTTTTTTCAAAAATAGATGGGTTGCCTGGTAAATGGTTTACAAACCCCATCTGAACCAGTGGAATCCATCTATTGTTAATCAAACTAACCTAAAAAGGACAGGTGCACCTATGGTTCTTACCCTCATCGTTTCAATTGTGGGAGGATCCACTCTCGTTGAACCCACCAGGGCAAAGGGCCTCCTGGAGTCTCCGTGTCCAAATTGGGTGGATTTAAACCCATGAAAGGGTTTTGCGGATTCCAAGCAATAGAAAAAGGCACCCAAGCGAAAACCAGGATTACCCACGCCTGAGAGATGCGACATCCCTGGATCGCCAGTTGCTGTTTTTAGTCCATGCACTTTACCCCCAAAACCAGCAATAGTGATTGGAAAAAGTAGCCACTTGGCTATCTAGGTCTGAATTAAATCAACGGATTCGTCAAGGGCATTCTCCCTTGGACGGACAATCTTTGAGGCAAACACGGGTGTGCTTGTTTATCCAGATTGTTCTCCTTTTTGCGCTGCCTTCAGTGAAACCATCCATCTGGCTCAATCACTAAAAAGCTCGATAACCCATTTTTGGGGGTTGCCCATTTGCAAAAGTGTTGAGATAGACAACTTCCCAACACAAACAAAGGTGTTGTTTTAGTTTCCTGTTCAGCCGACCTGAAAAGGGTACCCTCCAAGAAACGGACCCATTTAAAGACACGACACAGAAATCATCTCTCATAGCCACGCCTGAAAACCCCAAAGACCTTGGCTTAGGGTTTCCACCCCAAACCACCAAGAGAAATCGAAGTACCTGGAGTCTCCATGAGCCTTTAAAAATGGGTACATGACCCCAGTATTTTGGGTAATGACCAGATTCGGGTCATGGAGACTCCAGGTACATACCCTCTCTCCCACATGGTCCCTGACAGGGGGTCCCTAGAGGAAACTGAACTTGCACCCCGCCAGTGGGAGGAATGGTCAGAATGCTATCTACTCGGAGTCTCCATGACCCGAAGAAAAAACAACATATCAACAAGAAACACCAACATATCAACAAATATAAGGCCTAGCAAAAACACAAGGGGCTCATGATCCCCCCTCTTTTTAATGGGGAGGGTCCTCAAAAACCACGCCACTTGTGGAGACTTTGGGATCCGATCCGGCCGCATTGACGAAACGCCGAGCTCAGGTTGCTGCGGCGCCGTAGAAAAGGTCTCCGTCTTCCGAGCCTCCTGAATCGGGGCACGTGGGGCTAGAAATGAGACGGAAAACCCATTTTTTTTGGGCTACCTAGAGTCTCAAAGGGCCCATTTGACCCCATGAAATAGACGGGTTCCACTGGTTTGGATGGGGTGTTATGCCGAATCGGGGGCACGTGGTTGGGCTGTGGTTGAAATGGGATCCACGGATCTGTGATACAACAACAAAAATATTTCCAAAGACTACCCCCCCCTTTCTAAGGGGGGAGATTCCCGAAAGGGCACGCGGTGAATTGCTGAAACCCTATGTTTGGGCTGATAAACGGGTTCCACTGGGTTAGATGGGGTTTTATGCCCAATTGACCAGGCACACCCAACAGGTCACCTACTGTGGATGGACGAAATCCATTTCGCACCACTTTGAAATCATGGTTGATTTCTATAGTAGTTACAGGAGATTCGTCATTAAAGGGTGTCTTAGGTGGTGCTAAATGGATTTCGTCCATCCACAGCATTGGCGCGGGCGTTTTCGCCGAGGGGAACCAGAAGAAAAAACACAATTTGTCGGGCCCCCCATAAACAAACCCACACACACACACACGTGTCTTGAGGGTATACCCTTTGTCGGGGTTGTGGTTTTCAAACGTCGCTGGCGGCTGATCGTATTGCGCAACATGACTGCTGAGTTTGGCTGCGGCCAAACTCAGAATAGCGACACTAAATATCCCGCATCAAACTTGTGTGACACGCAGGGACTGAGAAACATAGACATAAAACTCAAATATCCCGCATCCAACTTGTGCTCAGCTCCGGCCTTTTTTGGCTATGACGTTTTGAGAGGGAGCACGCTGGAAATTGGTTGGTGGACACAAATGGCCATGCGTAAAAACCCTGTACCCCCCAGTGAACATCCCAATCCCCACTAAAATAGGTTCTAACATGGGTGGTGCACCTATCTCAAAATGGGATCCTAGTGGTTTTGAACCATGATAATCAGTTACACCCATTTGCAGTGCCGTGAGCCGTGGCTCAATCGAGCAGCAGCCTGTCTCACCCAGTGCGTTTTTTTTGAGCGGCTAGTAGTGTCCAGCCAAGCATCAGATCTACCAGGCCCGAGGTAGAGGCACAAAAGCATACTTCTAGTGCCACCTTCCCCATTCTTTCCAGGGATCCTTCTTTCTAGAAAACCTCCGGAAACCCAGAAAAAAACCGGCCGGTTCTCGAAAAGAACGATGGTTGGAAAGAATGGACAAGGAATCAACCCTTAGAATACTGAGACTTTACCATTTGTTTGTGTGCTTGTGTGTGTGAAAATGGCGTCACCCCTGAAACTGAGCGAATTCTTGTTTGGCTTCCATCCCAAAAAAGGGTACCTAGACTCTCCATGACCCTTTAAAAATGGGGTCATGACCGGTAATGACCCCATTTTTTGAGGGTCATGGAGAGTCTAGGTACCCTCAAAAATGATTTGGATCCATTTAAGCACACTTCAAATCCATTGACGGTTGCTACATGTTTTGGGCTTAGATTATTCGCCTCAACAGTACTTAGCTGGTCTGGGATGAATCGCTAAAGGGTTGGTGGTAACCCTGGTAGCCCACACGGAGACTTACAATCATCACTGATTTGGTGAACTCACTGTCCATAGGAATTGCCGCACAAATGATCTGGTGCCCGTTTCTGGTGGAGAAAGCTGCATGTTCCAAACGGGCGTGTCTTTTTTAAGGGACCCCTGTTTTGGTTGCTTTGAACAGACAACCAAAGGAAATCCACTATGTTTGGGGCGGGGGGGTTCCCTAAACTGGGTTTCTTTCTGCTCCCCTGCTAAAAGTTTAACTTTGGGCGGTTTAATGAAAAACCCATTAATTGGCAAAAAGCTAAAGTCCTAACATCCCTTGGCAAAATACACCAAAGTAAAGAACCACACACCCAAACGGCTAAATGGGCGAGTCTAATCCACTCCCAAACTAAAAGGTTTGCTTCAAAGGCCCCGGTACCGTACTGAACTGGGCGCCGATAGAACCCAAATGAGCCGCAATCAAAACCCGGCGCCAAATTGGTCTACCCAAACCACTGCAAAGAACTAAAAAGGCACTTCCCCGGGTTTTGAGCGCGTGGGTCACGCTTGGACGAGCGAGAACGCCGACAAGTCGCCTGGGCAAAGAGTTGAAGACCTGAGGACACCGTGGGGTTGTCCTGACGCGAATGCTGCAACCTCTGGTGGATTTCCATAGGAACACTAGACCCTCCAGTGGAGAGGTTCGAGTAAGGGTGACCACTTTTTTCAGGACGTCTATTTTAGTAGGGGAACCCTCCCCCAAAAAAGAAAAGGTAAAAAAGCACTACTGGGGGACCTACCAACACCGACCCCCGCGAAATGTCCACAGGCGCACCTTTTTTTGGTCATTCACTGATCTTAAAGGGACGGGAGACAAAAGGCAATTGGGCTCGTAGCCAGAGTCATTGGTGCCCTACCCCTTTCAAGTGCCAACAACCTACAAGAAACCCACGCTAGGCGAAACCTAAGGAAGATGCATCATGTTGGAACACAAAACAATGGATGAACAGCATGTAAGAAGAATCAACCCGTAGGTGTCGAGACTATCATCAACGTCATGTCTAGCTTCTTTTGACTTGCTGTCTTCTTTCATTTTCGTGAAATTTAGTACACCTAGGTCCTCCAAAGGGGTTAGAACAAGGGTACCCGTTTTTTCTGTAGTCTATTTTAGTAGGGGAACCCTCCCCCAAAAAAGGATAAAAGGGCACTATTGGGGGACCTAGACACATGATGTTGGTACATGAGGTGTCGTTTTTTACCAGCCCTCGGATGATTCAACTAGATCTGGCTCTGCCAAGAGCCTGGCCAACCGGTTCTCTGGGGCGCTTGACAGTTTTGTTTGTGTTATTTGGGTATGTGGCCATTGGGTCAAAAGCCCGTACCCCCAGTGAACATCCCAATCCCCACTAAAATAGGTCCTAAAATGGGTGGTGCACCCACCCGAAAATAAAGCCATAAGTTTTGCCCCATGGCCATGGGTCGACATCCGGGCGTGTATATTTGAGGGTACCCTTTTTTGGTGTGGAATAGAAAAGGGGAGCAAGAGGAACACACACACACACACACATGTGTGTCCCGATTTTTGAGACACGCCCATAGGCAAAAAAATGACGGATGTTCTCGTGGCTTCCAATTTCTGACCAACTCCAAGAAGGGCACAGCCAAGGAGGGGAAGAGGGGAAACAACACTCGAAATCCGTGCCCCCGAAACCTCCCAGGACCTGTCTTCACACCTGGAGCACCCTTCGTTACATAAATTTCTGCCCTTAGCCCAAACGTATTGCAAAACCAGGGGTCGTCACCAAAATATGGTAAACGTACACTTTTTCCTGCTTCGAGCGTTTTTCCCAAAACCGGGCTGGTCGGTCCTCCAAGATGCTCGGTCACTGAATATTCAAAAGGAGCGAGCAAAAATCAAAGTGCAAAACGAGCGCAAATATCCACAAAACGAGCGCAAATATCCGCAAACGAGTGCAATTTTTGTTTAAAAAAAAAACGTAACAATCCCGCCTTCCTCTGGATGGAAGAAGGGGATGTGGTCGAGCGTTTTTCGGGGGGGCGAGCGTTTTTTGGGGGGTCGAGCAGAAATCGGTAATTCGAGCGTTTTTTTCTCGTACCTAAAAAAAAGGCACGTTGGGTGCCTCAGGCAGAAGAAAGTTGTACCATGCACAACATGCGTTCTCCGTTTGTTATGTTAAGAGCTGAGGAAAGCCCATTGTTCCAACGGTCCTTTTGCTTTTGGGCGATCCTGTCATTCCCAAGAAAAGGGATGCTTTTTTGCCATGGAAAGCCGGGGAATTCAATGGGTCAACTCAGGTCTTTCAGACATTTGAGCACTCGGGACTCGTTGGAGTCTCTTCAATACTCGGTTGCTTTCTGCTCCCCTGCCAAAAGTGGCTAACTTTTAGTGGTTTAACGGAAAAAAAAAAAACCATGTTCGTTGGCAAAACGTTTAAAGTCCTAACATCCAAGCAAACAACACCAAAGTAAAGAACCACACACCCAAACGGCTAAATGGGCGAGTCTATTCCACTCAGGAAAACCCATGACCAAAGAATAAATGGGTCGGTCTCCAAGGTGGGGGGGGGGGACTTCCGGCTCGGGTCGACTCGGGAAAATGTCTCCTGCTCCAGGAAGGCCACGCTGTGTCGATGGTCTCGGCTCCTTGAGGCGCTTGATGTCTCACGGAGTCTCGCCGTACTCAATGAATGAGCCTTAAAAAGGGGTCACGACCCACGGGTCATTTTTGGCAGCTTCTGACCCTGAAAAACAAAAAGGGGGGTCTATATGACCTTGTGTGTTTTTTTCGGTGGACACTCCATCTTTCAAGGGTGAGATGGAGACAAATCTAGGTCCTCCAGTAGAGAGGATAGAATAGGGGTACCCTTTTTTCTGTAGTCTATTTTAGTAGGGAACCCTCCCCCCAAAAAAGGGTAAAGGGGCACCACCGGGGGACCTAGAAATGGTTATTTGTCAAAGTAGTGGCTTTCCATGATTCGGAACCCAGAAAGTTGAAAGTTGTGGTCCATCTAATTTCCCTTGCCAACGTCCTTTTTGGGCGAGACTAACCAAAGAGGACCCTTGAAACCGTCCAACGTCCCTTTGGGCGAGACTAACGAAACCCGTTTGTTTTACCTCAATTTCACCTTTCAATGGGCTGAGAGTCGACACAACGGCATGCCCCGAAACCAAATGCCTGCGTGTGAGAAACCATGCACAGAGCGGGCCCTTACCTATTAAAGCGGCCAATAATTTGGGTTCGTCCCAAAAGGGGGACCCAACAAATGGGCGGCTTCCTTTTGGTTGTCCATTGAAAAAAAAGCGAACAGGGGGATACCGCAAGACAAAGACACATCCACTTGGGCGCTGCAGAATTTGTTGCTTGTTCGAAGGCGTTTACCGCGCCCCGCCCACTCCCCGCCGCACCACGTCCTGTTCTTCCTGGCTTGCGCCATCTCCGCCCTGGACCGGATCTCCTCGAGCGGGGCTTTTGATGCCCAGTGAGGCCACTTAAGTGGGCTGCCCTCATATCCCCTGCCAGAAGTGACTAACTTTTAGTGGATTAAATAGAAACCCACCCACTAAACCAAAAATCTGCTAAAAAGCTCAACAGGTAGGGAACCAGATGGCTGAAGCCACCAAGTAACCGCAGCCATTTGGGATGTCACAATCGGCTGTGATTTTTCTCTTGGTGTCCCTTTAAAGCAAGGCAACAAAGGCAGCAAGGCTACCCCTAAACAAAGCGCACGCAGACAAACACACACACACACAAACAAACACACAATCAAAAAAACAGACAGACAAACAGAAAGACAGACAAACAAACAACCAAACAAACAAACAAACAAACAAACAGACAAGCAGACACAAAGACACAAAGGCACACACAAAACACACACGCAAACAAACACAGAAACACACAGAAACACACAGAAACACACAGAAACACACACACAAACACACACACACACAGACACACAGACACACAGACACACAGAGACACAGACACACAGACACACAGACACACAGACACACAGACACACAGACACACAGACACACAGACACACAGACACACAGACACACAGACACACAGACACACAGACACACAGACACACAGACACACAGACACACAGACACACAGACACACAGACACACAGACACACAGACACACAGACACACAGACACGCAGACACGCAGACACACAGCCACACAGACACACAGACACACAGACACACAGACACACACACACACACCCACACACCCACACACCCACACCCACCCACACCCACCCACGCACGCACGCACGCACAAACACGCATGCACAAACACGCAACACACACACACACACGCACAGATACACACACACACAAATACAAATACAAATGCAAACACAAATGCACAAACAAACACACAAACACAAACACAAAAACACAGACACAGACAGACACGCACAGACGCACACACAGACACACAGGCACACAGGCACACAGACACACAGACACACAGACACACAGACACACAGACACACAGACACACAGACACACAGACACACAGACACACAGACACACACAGACACACACAGACACACACAGAAACACACAGAAACACACAGAAACACACAGAAACACACAGAAACACACAGAAACACACAGACACACAGACACACAGACACACAGACACACAGACACACAGACACACAGACACACAGACACACACACACACACACACCACAACACATAGACACAGACACAGACACAGACACAGACACACACAGAAACACACAAACACACAAACACACACACACACAGACAGGTTCTGCTTGCACGCGCACAAACGCACACACACACACTCTTCTATCTTCCCCCCAGCCCCTCCAGTCAGAAAGGCATGGCACTTTTAAGTAGCTGATTCTAAGTTGAAGCCCCTCACATAAAAGCTTATTGGCGAATTTTAAGTTGAGGCCCCTCAAAGCAAACTTTAGTCTGTGCTTTTAAGCTGCAGGCCCTCAAGGAATAAGGACACACGTAACTGCCCCGAGAAACACGTCGCACTTTTCCTTTTATTGGCTAATCTATTGTGTTGACGCCCCTCAAAGAAAAGGGACACCTAGACTCTCCATGACCCTTAAAACATGGTTGGTCACCCAAAGAATGATTCGGGTCAAATGGGCCAATTCTTTTTCTAGGGGTCACGCAGACTCTAGGTAGTTCTTACAATAAACCCAATGAAAGAAGGTGGACCTACTGAATTTGCAAACTTGCTTCCTGAGCGGATGGCCCATAAAAAGTCTGGGAGACTCTAGGCAGACGCAAAAAACCGCAACCCGCTGCTTCTTCTCGCGCCTTGATCATCAGCGGCCGGTCTTCGAAGCCCTCCTCCTCGCTGTCCTCCTCCAGGTCGATCTGGCCAGCCGCCAGCTCCGCGCGCTTTCCGCGCGCTTTTTCCGCGCGCTTTTTCCGCGCGTTCCGCTTACATGGAGAGCTAGATTTCAGGGCTGGGGGAAATGGAATCCGAATCTGTGATACAAGAAAAAGGTCCCCCAAAGACTACCCCGCCATGGAAAGAGGGGAGTCCCACAAGTATCACAGAAGTGGGGATAAACCCCCTGATCCCACAATCTTGCTAGATTGACTATGCAGTAGCAGAAGCAAACACTTTATGCGTTATAGTTATAGGTGTTAACGTATGGGTACACACCGATAATATAGCTTCAAGAGGAGAAAAATAAAATAAAAAAAGTGACGCCCCAAAAGTGAAGATCCAAAGGAGGTGGTGGGTGGCTCAATTGCCACTTAGGGATCCAGAAATAAAGGCGATCACCTGTTGGGAACATGACTATGGACCAAAATGGGAAAACCAAAAGGTCAAAAGGTCCGCTTTGAGAACTGAGGTCGGGGGAGAGTGGAAATCCGTGGGATGAAGGTGAAAGGGGTGAGATTCTGTCAAATTCAGTGTATGATCCCAAAAAGCGGAAGCTCAATGGTCAGGGGTGGACATGATACATCTTTTATTTCCGGAGCAGCTGGGGACCTTGGATGAAAGGCTAAACCTGGTGAGATATGGTTTTCTTCATATCCGGTTCATTGAAGAGGTCAGGGTTTATTGCCAGACGGATTGCTTATGTACCTGGTGTTCAATCATTATATTTTGCCTTTAAAGGTCGAAAGGTCGATTCGCCTTAGGCATGTGAGAAGGGGAATCACCTTGACCTCTCCACATGTCTTTTCAAACATAGGGGAACCCAAAGCCGGTTTTCTCAAGCAAATCCAAATGGACATGCCATCCCAACAAAATCGCTTGATGTTTTCTGGGGGCCGTCTTCAGAGTTGAAGTAATGCTTCCGACCAATTGCATGCGGGAAGCAAACAAGTCGTGGCAGGTCTTGCAAATAAGCCAGCTCACTAACTGCATCAAACGTCTGGGATTGAACAACCGTGCGAAGAGCTTGCCGAACATGGGTTGTCGTGTCCATGCGCCTTGATTTTGTGTCACGGGCCGTGAAATGACTCTGCCAATTTCGAAACCCCAAATCCACCCAAATCCACGGAAAGCATCGCCCCCCCCCAGCCTTCTGAGCTTGCCTGGCGCATAGGGGGAAAGAGCCTGGGTTCATCGAAATGACCTCCTCAAATTCTAACCCCCTCCTCAAAATTGAAATGTACTTTCTCGGTTCACTGAAATTGACCCTCTCACCCCAAAGTCCAAAAGCGGCAAGCTAGACCCGTGGCCAGGCAAAAGCGCACTTTGTTGGGAGGAAATGTGTTAAAGGGACACCCCAAAGAAAGGAACAAAGCTTGGTTGCTGTTGACCCCTCTGCAAAAAGTATGTTCACTTTTTGTGGGTGCAATGGAGAATCCAGAAAGCTTCAGCCAAAAAGTTAAACCCATAAAGAAGGGGCACGACTTTGGTGGATCAGCTTTTGGCATAAGGAGAGCCAGGGAGGCTAGCTAAGCGAAACCCTGAGGTGTGGTCATTTCCAGGGCACCCCGGTCACGGGAAATTTCCACCCCCCGGAAGTCCCCAAGGGATAGGGCCACACTTTACTTCTAATCGAACGGATGGCCCAGAGGAAGGTCTCCAAACCTTTTTATGTCTGGCAACATGAAAGCCACACCCAATACAGTCCATGAACTCAAGTGAGAAACCGTGTAGGCCAAAGGCCAAATAAGACCTTCAGCAGTTCAGCGTCCAAGTTCCTGTCAGTGTGTCTGTGTGTGTGTGTTAACCAGATGGGAGGGAAGACTACATGAAAGGGGATGAAAAGGAAGAGAGAAAAGGGGATGAATCCGAGGTCAACAACAAACTCTACTCCCAACAGCTACTTGGCTATTCCGGTTTTGAACTTGTAAATTTGGCAGGCGGTCCGGAAGGCTGCTAAGTGGTCAGTAGCCTCTGTGGCACAGGTTTGGGGATTCACAGCTCAACTGGGAACGAACTTAGATAATCTTCCACTTGCTTGTTCGCTCCTGGCAAACAAAAAAACAGATGGTTTACTGGGGAAATCGATTCCCTTCAAAACCAACCAGGGCAACTTAGTGAAACATTCATTTCAGCAAGTGGATGCAAATGAAAGCTGAAAGCGTTGCCCGGACAGGAGTAGATTTTTAAGCGAACGGGACCCTGCCCTCGTGATCGCGTGTTGCCCTCGGCCGAATTTTTGGCTCACCGCTCGCTCGCCTTTTTTGCGTATGCTCCTCTGCCAAGGCGGGCACCGCCGGCAAATCCTGGCATCGCAAAAAACGTCCATCTGCTTTTTCGTCCCCTGGAAAAAACAAAAAAAGCGACAATACCCTAGGAGCCCAAGACCTCATATTTTTAGAGGCCTTTGCGCCTTTGGGGGTGAAAGACCCTCACATAAAGGGTCTTGAGGCTCCCAGGGATACTTGCCGAAGTGACAGATTCCCTTTAAAACAAAGAGGGGAAAATAACACATATTTTTCAGAAAATGGAAGAAAATGGGTCTGGGAGTCTTCAGCAGCTAGCCCTGGGCTTGTGGTGGGCTGGCTCCGTCGACTAGCTAAATGGATACCTGGGCATCGGCGTCCTTTTGATAAAAACAAGATGCACTGGTAAATGGAATAAAACCAAACTAAACCAGTGAAGCCCATCTATTTCTAGCCAAACTAACCGAAAAAGGAAAGCTATGCACCTGGGTGGCTGACAACCATGGGTTAGAACCATGGTTAACCACTTAGCGATTCACGCCGGACCATCGTTCAGCATCCTCAGTTCAACAATCTGGACACCAACATTTAATGGCAGTTCCAGCAAAGGACAATGAGAGTCACAATCAAAACCGATCGGTATTCAAATGCTCTGCCCATCACCATGTAAAGAATTGTAACGGCGGAAGTATGCACCCATGTATGGCAAGGTGATTATCCCGGAACCTTCATCTGCCCGATTGGGTTTTGAACACGTGGCTGACAGTCCGACCACAAATAGTCCGTTGCCGCAAGCTTCCAGTGCATCACTCTTTGCCGATCGAGTGGATGGCCCCCAAAAAAGTATCCATACTGTGGATGGTTGCGAAATCCATTTCGCACCACCTACGAAACCCTGGAGCGCTGATTCCCCGGAAAATGCCGACAAACGGTGGCTTCCCATGGTTTCAATGTGGTGCGAAATGGATTTCGCCCGCCCACAGTATTTGTCGTTTCCCACGAAAACGGCCCTTCCCAAAAATGGCAAAAGTCCAGGAACTCAGGAAGTGAGTACAAGAGCTTGTGACCAAGTCCAAGAGCAGGCCAAGGAAAATTCCAGTAAGCCAAGCAAGCCTATGGTGTCTAGTTCTACGATTTCCCCAAGGGAATTTCAAGTGATAGGTATGTGTTGGTATGTGTTCCTGGAAATCGTTTTGGTAACTGGAAATCCAACTTGTGCTTGGTATGTGATCCTGAGAATCCTGGCAGCTTCTAACCATTCTGCCCAGGAATCCTTCTTTCCAAGCCATCAAGCCACTAGAAACCCTGCGAAAATGCATGGTTGTGGAAAGGAGCAATGGTTGAAAGAATGGTTGGAATTATGGAATCCCATCCGGGGTGTAAGTACAAGGGTGGGTAGTTTTCCGTGCCCTGGTCGCGTGATGGGCTAATAGATGACTGCGTATGTGAACCCTCCAAACAAGAATACATATTCATATGTGGCAAACTTACGTGGGCGTCCTATGATCTCATCTAGTCAATCGCAGGATTGCCCTTTCCAGGCGATGAAAGGGCTGAGTACCTGACAATTTCTACCACCAAATCCAATGGCAAACGGACTGCCCAAAAGCCAATCCCTCACTGGTGCCTGGTGTGGATTCTTTGTCATGTGGAACCCAAACTCACTAGGGCAAGGTGAAGGGGTTTCCAACAGAACAGCGGTTGAACTGTTACCTCCGGTTGCCTAAGCAGGTTGGAAAAGACATTCAAAAAACATCCAGTGCTAGGTATGAGTAGAGCCACTTATTGATAAGGGTAGTTGGAGGGTCCAGGTGTATGAGCTTGATAGCCATGGCAGGAATGAAGCCTAACGCCGACGGTTCCTTCTCAGGACCCCTCTGACTGCTTTGCAAAAAAGCAAAATGCCTGGCTTTCCGGAAATAGGCAAACTGGTGATTGCTTTTCATCAAAACCACCTGCAAACCTCAAAACCACCGCAAACCCCTAGTTGTTTCCTCTCAAAAGCCAATGCAAGCAACACTGCGGCGCTCCTGCAGCCTATACTCGGTTGCTTTCTGCTCCCCTGCTAAAAGTGGCTAACTTTTAGTGGTTTAGTACGGAAAGCCCCTCTTCGTTGGCAAAAAGTTCTCCAGTCCTAACATCCCTTGGCAAAATGCGCCAGGTTCTGTTCAACCATCGTTCTTTTCAAAAAGCGGATCTGTTTCCCCTGGGTTGTTGGATGGTTTCCTGAAAATAAATTCGGATCCCTGGAATGGGGAAGGAACCAAATGCGCCCAAGTACAATATACCAGTTTAAGGGTCAGAAGGAGACTCATGTCCCTGGGGAATCCCTTTTGGAGGGTTGAACAAAACAGGTCAAAACCCAGCTCCGCCTGGTTCCTCGAATCCCCGGTGCGGCTTCGACGAGAGAGGAGCCCGCCCGCCTGAGCCTTGACCAAAGGCGCCAGCGGCTGGTGCGGCCTCGCGCTGCAAACGGGTGGCGTGTGGACCTTGATCTTGATCTTGGCCAAGTCCATGACCCTTAAAAAAGGGTGCGGATTTATTCAAAAACAAACGAAACAAATCCTAAAATAAATACCCCTCCCTTAGAAAATGGGGTCATTGCCCAAAAGAAAGGGGTCATTGCCCAAAAGAAAGGGGTCATTGCCCAAAAGAATGGGGTCATTGCCCAAAAGAAAGGGGTCATTGCCCAAAAGAAAGGGGTCATGAGCCCTTTTTCTACAGAACAGGACACCCTGAGCGTGCGCGGTTCTATGTTTTTTTTTTTTTTTTGGTTTTTTTTTTTTAACAAACCCGATGTGTTTGAGACCTTTCCCAAAACACACACACACACACACACACAAAACCTTGAGCAAACCTCGTTTAAAAAAAAGAAACAAAAAACAAGACTACCCCCCCCCAAGCCAGGACATGTGACACAGTCTTGTTTTTGTTGGTTTTCTCCAGGTTTTTCACACTTTTCCCAAAAACACGAAGCACCTCGAGAAAACAAAAAAACAAGAAAACCAAGACTATGTCGCATGTCCTGGCTTGGGGGGGGGGGGGTAGGCTTGATTGTTTTTGTTTTGATTGATTTTTGGTTTTCTCGAGTTCTTATTGGCATTTCCTTGGACAAATGTTAAAAACCGGCAGAAAACCAAAATATAAGACTCTGTCAGGGAGGGGACATAATATGTTTTTGCTTGGTTGTCTTGAGTTGTTTTTGTACTTTACCGTTTCCGCCCTGATTGCAAGAGCTTCTGTGATCAAGTGCGCTGGTGTAGTTCACATCCAAGCCCTAGTACAGTAAGGTAGAGATGGTATCCTCTGGTTGGACTCGTTCCTTGTCACAGCAATTATTATTTTAAATTAGAAAGATACAAGCAGAACTTGAGAAATATATTAAGTAGAGTTCATAAGAAAGAAGTTAGAGGTCCCAAAATTGTTAAGCTGTTCAAATGCCTACTGATCTGCAAAGACAATTCCATTGGACAGGAAATCCTGTGTAGCATCCATTTTCAAATAGAACAAACATTGTTTAAGTTCTACTTTAAACCAATACTTATACTTGCATGCTTTCCTATGTTTAATGTGAGATAGGAATTAAGTAGAACGTGATACATATATTGAGTAGAATTCGTAAGGAAAAAACTTGGAGATTCCGAACATGTTTAATACATGTTGTTTAGATGCTTACTGATTTGTAAGGACAATTCTATTGGAAAAAAAACCCGTGTAACTTTTATGTTGAAATAGATTAATCATAATTGAAAGTCTAATTCAAACTATACATTTTGATTGGAGTCTTTCCTTAAAAGTGTCTGGTTGATTGCAGTTAGGCATTGGGTAGAATTTGGCAAAGATATTAAGTAGATTTCAGAAGGAAATAATTCAGAGGTCCTAAAATTGTGTTTTTTTGGGTTGACTAGCCCCAGAACTACCATGGTCGGAAAAAACAGTAAAACACTGTGTTTTGTAGCGTTCTCCGTACTCAATTCACATCTCCACCAACGGCAACTCTTAAAATCGAGTTTGGATTTGAATAGGATTTCAATAGGACTCAATAAGGAAATACTTGATCAGAATCCTACTGGGAATTAAATCTTACATTTAGAATTTAGATGTACATCCTTTCCCAATAGAAAATTGCAATTAATTAGAGTTTAAACGTAATTTGATAAGGAATGCATCCAATCACAACTTCTGTTTCATAAAATAATTTGAAATAGAATAAGTCTATTTTAATTGATAGTGTACACAACCATCTATTTGAAGGCAAGATCTCCAAAGCCCAACTAGCCTCAGTGGCCACGAAAACACGGCAATGTGCGTGCAGTTCATGCCAAGGGTTGACACCCTCAAACAAAGTTGACGCGGATACTAGTGAAGAGTTGTTCCGTGCCTGGACGCAACAAACAACTGAAACACGTGCCAAAGTGGGTAGCAAGTAGCATTCACCCCCCAACACCCCCTCCCCACGCCCAAACATCGGCTATACAACTGAAACATGCCAAAGTAGCCTTCACCCCCCAAAAAACCCTTCCCTCCATGCAGCTCAGTCCTCTTCGGATGAAGCTGCTTCACCAAACCGGCTGCCGTGGCAGGGAAGAAATTGACCTGGCTGTGCATTTATGCTTGGATTCCCGCTAGCCCGCAGCATCACACAAAAAAAACACGTTGCATCTGTGGTTCATCGCGTTTCATTATGTTACGCAGCGCTCCTTCGCATACAGATGGAGTCCTCCCACAAAGGTCTATTCTTAGAGGAATCTCCATTTGGAGGACAGAACCCTGTTGCTGGGTTCCATGCTACTCGCAATTTATAACGGGAGTATCAATATTCCATGCGCCCTAGAAACATTCATTTCGATTCATTTGTACCATCCCCAAATTGCCATCCCACACTAGAACTTTCCTCTGCCCCTCCAAAGGTTGACAACAAAAATAGCACTGGAGGTCTCTGTCTCAAATGGGCTTGTGTTTCTCGAGGATTTGGCCCCCAAAATTGCGCAACGGTTTCCCACGTCGCTTCTCGACATGGTGGTCCCCCCCTTTTGGTTGGTATTTAAAGGGGAGCAAAACGCAAACCGCCCAATTTCGGGACACCTGGCTTGCGAAACACCCCAATGCTTGCAGCCAAAAGGCCATTGCCGCCGGCTCCACAGGCAGAAGGTCCTTGAAGCCTCATGGGCCCAACAAATGGACAATAAGTGAATAAGACGGCGCTAGTTACTTGGCACGTGGGACCGCATTTCCTGAGGTTTGTTTTAGTTCAAAACCTTACGTGTCGCATCTCTGATATTCCACGGTCAGCCTCTTTGTGCTACTATTGTGAGATGTTGGGTCTGGACCTAACAAAGCTTTATTCATAGAGTGCATTGAAGCCCACACCAGTGGTCATGGGCAAAAACATGCTCTTTTTGGATAGTTGATTGATTGAAATAAAACCAACAACTAGCAACAAAAACGGAGAACAACAAGGGCGCCAAAGAACAATAACAACTAACGGAAAAAACAAAGAAACAAAACACGGAAAATCATGGCGCACACCGGAGGTTGGGTGCGTGCAACCGGGGGAAACGGATAAAGGCCCTCCTCCAGTGGCTTTGCTGGGCTCGAGACGGCTCAGAACCTCCTCCACCTGCCATCGGGTTTTCAATCGGACATGGCTTCGTCTCTTTTGGTGGGCACCCCTTTTTTGGTGGCAAAGGGAAACCCAAAAAAAGGAACGCCACCCGCAAAAATTGCGGGGTCTCTACAAACAACAGGACACGCTTTGCTAGGGGTGATTCCTTGTCCAGTTCTTTCAATTCTTCTTTTCAAAAACCGATCGCCGTTTTCCCTGGGTTTCGGAGGTTTAGAAACAAGAACCTTGGAAAGAATGCGGAAGGTACCCATAGAGATGTGTCTTTTTAACAAGTTTCCTTTGTGGTCTCAAAAAGAACCAAAAGAAAGAACACTTGTTTGGTTAGTTAGTCTCCTGAAACATACACATGAACCAAGCCGACTCATTCTCCCACGCCCACTCACATTTACGGTCACAGAATCAGCTGGTTGATATCCCCACCGGCAGGCCCCTTTGCGCCCTCATTTTTAGTGGGACATCACCTAAATGATTATAGTGAGTGTGCCTTTGTTCAGGCCACACCGTTTTGGATGGCATCAAAGGGAAGCCACGAGGAAAACCAATGTTTTTTGGGGTCCCCTAAACAGACACACCCAGATTCCAAAAAACTCCAGCCCGAATTTACGGCTGCAAACTGCAATGTAATTCAAAAAGCACCACATGGGTTGACTGGAAAACTTGAAGCGATGAGTCTGGCCAAGGGATGGCGAATCGAACGAGCGGCATTTCGCATGCAACTTGCACCCACCCTAAATCAACCCAAACACACCCTTAAACCCACCCCAAACCCAGCACCCTGAGCCAACCTGTAAATCCACCCTAAACCAACCTTCAATCCCACCCTAAACCAACCAGTACACCCGCCCGAAAGCAACCCTTAAACCCAACCTTCAAGCCACCCAAAGCCAGCCTTTCAACCCACCCTAAACAAACCTTTAAACCCACCCTGAAACAACCTCTGAGCCCGCCTTAAACCAACCTTTAAACCCACCCTAAACCATCAAATCTTTAAACCCACCCCAAAGGAACCTTTGACCCCCCCAAAAAAAAACATTAAATCCCCCTAAACCAACCATAAACCAACCTTTACACACACAATTGAACCAACCGTTAAACAGAACCTGTAACCCCCCCTCCCCCCTAACCAACCTTTGCACACACCTTTGAACAAATCGTTAAACCGAACCTTTAACCCCCCTTAAACCAACCTAAGCCAGGCTTTAGACCCACCCTAAGCCAATCTTTTCAACCCACCCTAAACCCAACCTTTACATCCACCCTAAACCAGCTTTTAAGCAAAACTTTATGGCACCCCCAAACCAAACGGCGAAGCAAACCTATCGGCGCACCCACTGAAGCCAGGTGAGCATCGTGTCCATGCGCAGCTCGTCGGAAGGCCTGCATTCCCAGCGACAGATCTTCTGCCGTGTAGAGGCCTGAAATGTTCCTTCTACCCGACCACCCGGAACCCACAAATGGCTGTGGCTCAATAGCTGTAGCTGGAAGCTGAAAGGAAGCCGACCCGATACTTGCGGATGATGTTGAAGGGACACCAACCCGAACAAATGGCTGTGACTCAATATAACACAAACCAAAATGGCACCTCGGTAAATGGAACCAAGAACTAAAACCTGCGTAACCATGGTCCTTTACTTTTGAGTCACACCCAAATGGGTGGCTCGCCGCCCGGTTTCTTTTAGCCGGTACCCCCATGTGTGGCTAAGGGAAACAAAGTGGCTAGGCAAATGGGAAGTTCATTGGAAATCCCGGCAACCTGGAACCTGGAAATGGCTGAAACATCGATGCGTCGGCAAACGACTTTTGGAGGATGAAACTCCCTGGCTTGCTTGACAATACTGCGACTGTGGGCGGACAAAATCCATTTCGCGCCACCCAAGAAGCAATGGGAAACCGTTGTTTGTTGGTTTTCAGAGGCGAATCATCATGCCAGGCTTTCTTAGGTGGTGCGAAATGGATGTCGTCCATCCACGGGAGGGAGCCCACAAAATGGCTTCGGCCTTCTTTTGGTCGTCGTTGTGCAAACCTTCAAAGGGCGGGCTCAAAAAGGGACACACCTAAATGTACGGGTGGGTGGCTGTTTATGTGGATTTAGAGCCACCGGGACACCGAAGCCGTCCAAATCCTAAAGCGCTCCCAAGAGTCCTTGTGCTTCTCGAGGTTAGAGCGCGCCAAGCGAATTTCCCAAGTGACCTCGATCCAGATGCAAAGATCAGCCTCATCTCGCAGGATTTTGCTCCCGATGGCCTGATGGCCGTCCATGAAGATCACTGCAGAGGGGGTCTTCTTGCGAACCTGCTTGACATCCTCCAGGGCCTCCTCGTACTGAATGTCCTCACGCTTCCAGTATGTATCCCATCTCAGCTTCCCTCCAGTTGGTGGCCTAAAAATCTCGGTGGAGGTTGGGTAGAGGCTTTCCATTTGCACTCTACCAGAACTAGCAAATCAGCCCCGAAACAACACCAAACCACCATCTCAGGATTCCCTTAGGTGGTTTTGACAAAACACACCGCCTCTCCTGGGGTCTTTTGGGAAAATTTGATGAGTTCGGTCCTCGAACCCTCGCGGATTGCAACGACTCGGACCGCGTTCGGACCGCGACCTTTCGGAGGCCAGGCCGTTTGAAAATCGACGATCTTGGGCCTTAGGGCGAAGTCCAAAAACCGGAGAAACGGCCCAAAATGCCGCCGTGACCTTTGAAAAATGGGGAGTCATGACCCACCATGATTTTGGGGACATGACCAACCATGTTTGATTCGGGTCATGGAGACTCCAGTTGACTCCAGTGGAAACCTGGACCAAGACCTGCGGTTTGCCCCTCCGATCCTTTCATCTTGAGCCGCATTGGACCTTGGAAACAAAGCTTGACTTCGATCGAAACGTATCCTCACTTCCGAACGATTAGATGGCCTACAAAGACAGGCGAACGGAAGGGCCAGCACATGTATAAATGCACATGGACTCTCAGACTACCCTTAACAAAGGGATGTTGCCCCAGAAAGGGTCCAGGTACACATACATATACATATTGTAAGAATATACATATATATACATAAATATATATATATATATATACATGTATGATATGTATGCGTCATAAACTGTGTTGCACACCAGTAATAATTGTTTTCATCCCTTCTGATTCATTTCGCAAGGCCTCCAAGCAAGAGCATGTACATGTTTAGATACACACCATCGAAGTAACATACAATTTGCCTGCGGCCAGACTGACATGGCATATGGTATAGCTCTAGGGGTACCTTCCCCATTCTTTCCAGGGATCCTTCTTTCTAGAACACCTTCAGAAACCCAGGGAAAGCGTCGATCGGTTTTGAAAAGAACGATGGTTGAAAAGAATGGACAAGGAACCAACCCCTGTTTAGACCTAGAGTCTCCATGACCCCTTTCAAAAATGGGGTAATAAACCCTTTCTTTTGGGTAATGACCAACCATTTTTCAATAATGAGGAATCAATCCCTAGAACAACTACCTGGAGTCTCCATGACCCTTTAAAAATGAGGGGACAGGTTGATTCCTCAGCCCATGGAGAGGTTGATTCACCTTGTGCAGGTCCACCTGCCGCGACGGAATCGTCTTCGGCCCACGAAAACGCCTCGCTGGGAGCTCGCTGCCATCTGCGTCGCGGGCTGCTTGGCCTAAGTGGGTCAGGAGTGACTTCCCGGGGGTTGGTCTCAAAAAGTCCGGATCTGTGTCCACCAACCACTTTTCAGCGAAGGGCCCATTGAAAATTAGAAGAACGTGGGTAAAAAGATCGACAAGAGGGTGTGTCCGCTTTTGAGGCTACCCCTTGCTTGGTGGTTTAACCAAGAGGCTTTCTGTGGGGGTGCCTTAAAAAGCACACACACACAAACACCGGACAATTTAGTTTGGCTTGTGTTGCAACGCACCAGGGAATGCACTTCCCATGGCAACTCAAACCACATTTTTCAGGGGTTCGTTAATCAAGAAGAACACGTCTTCCACGGTGAAACACCTACTGGTTTCAGCACGGGTCGACATCATATATAGAAACAGCGGGTATTTCGGAGCAGCAAATGCACCGCATCGATCGAAAAAAATGGTCGGGAGGGTCCAACCACTCATCGCCCAACCAGTTTCTCTCTCAGGACCCGGGCGCAGTCGCCCCGATTCCTGGTCCAATTGCTTCGCGACCTGCGGAGGGTGTGGACCTCATGGAGCCTCGAATCAGCAACGTTTTGGGCGTTTTGGGGGAGGCGATCAGAGTTCCGTCCTCCAAACCTTATCCTTAGCTCATCCTTGGCTTATGCAAGAAGACCCCCCTCCCCCACACCCCCCCCGGGTAGCCCTCTTTGGAGGTCAATGCACAAAATGGTTGGTTTCCACTGTTCCCGGTGCGTCCAGGCCACTATTCAGTTGCCCAGTTCGCTCCCAGAAATAGAACATGATCACCTTGTGAAACTAAGCCAAAAAGGAGAAGCCAACAGTTCGAAGGCTCTATGGGCAAGTGAGTACATAACCAGAGGAAACCATCATGTAGAGCCATTCTGGTTGCAAAACCTCAACTGGCTCCCATTAATTGACATGGAACCTGATAGGGAGTTCCTGGAAGACAATGTTCCTGTTAAAGGGACGAGGGCAAACCAACCCCACAATGGTACAGACTCCGAAAACACACCCAGGTGTTGGAATCATGGGAGTGTGTCTTTTTTTGGAGACCCCAAAAATGGTGGCGTTCCTTTTGGCTTCCCTGAAAAAACCAACCCCAAAACGGTATCAATTCAAAAAAGACACCCATGGGGGTGTGTCTTTTTAATTAGAAGACCACCAAAATGGTGGTTTTGCTTTTGGTTTCCCTGAAAACCCAACCCCAAAAAAAGTAGTACCCTCAAAAAAGACACCCAGGAACAGACCAGGTCCTTCAGCAACAGAAGGGCCAGTGTGGAACACCTTTCCAGTCCAGCGTCTGTGTTTCACGTTTGTTCTGCAGGGTTCCGAAGGCAACATCTGTGTGTTTTTGGTTTCAGGGTAACCTTTTGGGGTTGGTCTGAACGGGCAAAAGGAAGCAAGGCATGTTTGAACCTAGAGTCTCCATGCGCCTTAAAAAATGCCCATATTTGACCCCTGAATTTCGGGTATTGACCAACCGTTTTTTTAGGGTCAGTTTCGGAGAGTCTAGGAAGGTCAATTTTGAGACACTGTTTTCTAACGGTGCTCCGGATTCGATCCACCGATCCATGCAAATGATTGTCACTTTTGGGGGTCCAATTTCCCCCTCAAGGTTATGTCCATAGGCTAAGCCGGAAAGCGCCAAAACTTTGAGGGGTATGCCGCCGCATTGGTGGTACGCATATCCGGTCAATCAAAAATTCATCCGGCAATAATATTCTTAGATTTGTGATGTATAAAAATCATGGAACCTGAGCGGGACGCTCCTAGACCATGTTCCTCATTCTTCCCGGGGTGTATTTTAACTCGGTAGCTTTCTGCTCCCCTGCTAAAAGTTTAACTTTTAGCGGTTTAATGGAAAACCCATTAATTGGCAAAAAGTTAAAGTCCTAACAGCCAAGCGAAATGCGCCAAAGTTGAGGGGAGCCTTCATATTTCGCGTCGGATCACAAGATCTCTGGGGTCTCCTCGGATCCGACGTCGCCCGTCGCCTGCTCCATCTGCGGCAGGATCTGGTGCAAGACGGAGCGCTGCGAGTCCCAAGCCTGCCGGATCTGAGAACCCGAACCCGAACCCGACGAAGAAACCAAAGTGGTCGACCTGTTCCCAATGGGTGAATCCCCTTGTGTTTTTTTTTTGTGGGAGGGGGGTCCTTTTGTGTTCTACTAACCAGGCAAACAAGGTCTATGTTTTTGGTCGGGGTCCGATTTTTCCAGCCTACCTAGACTCTCCTTCTGACTCCTAGAAAAAGGCGTCACCATTGCCTAATTTTGGGCAATGACCCATCATGCCCATTTTTTAAGGGTCAGATTCGGAGAGTCGTTAAGGGTCCCCACTAAAAAGGCACACCCGTGATTTGTTTTTATCAAACTCATCCCCATTTGTCAGCTTCCTCCTTGGTGCCTTGGAGCCTGGCGGTTTCGAGGCATGGGGGCGGCTTTTTATGTAAGCTCTACAACCAACCGGTTCTCAATTCCCCAAGGAACCAATCCAAAACCACCAGTTCAATCCAACCAATCCAATCCAACCCAATCCAAAACCACCAGCTTCGGAGTTACCTGACACTTGTGCTCACGCGTCGCTCGGAACCTGGCGCATGGCTTTGAACGGCCAGGCTGTTGCTTGGAGGCAGTAGGCTTCATCAGCTAAGGGCTAGCCGCCAGCCTCCCTCCCACTCTCATACTGTGGATGGTGCGAAATGGATTTTGTCCATCCACAGTAGCATCTGACAGGGGATCCCTCACGAAAGTTGATCTTCCAAGTACCCGCTTCACAGGTGCTATAGTGGGAGGTAGGGTGCCTGAAGTTGGGTATGCATTTCTTAGGCCGCGCAAATCTCACTTGCCCAAAAAAACCCTTGACTCAATATGCACCAAATCAGGGAAACCACAAGGTCAAAGGACGGGCTGTTGTGGCGACCGAGGAATGGCGGTTGTGTTGTTGGTGTTCCTTTAAAACCACGGCAAAGCATTTCGCACGCAACGAGAAACCTAAGCTTCCGTTTGGTTAAGACCCCTGGAAAAAACAAAAAATCCAGTAGTGATAGACTCCCTTTAAAACCAACAGGGGGAAGTAAGAGTGGTCTAAAAGCGGAAGTGCACAATGCGCAAACTGATCAGTTGGGGGGATTTCTTCTAAAAGGGGTTGTGTAGTGTAAACCGTTTCGCGGACATCATGTAGGCGGGAGTTCTGTCCACCAACCACTTTTCAGGCGATCCCCTCTTGAAAATCATCGCCGGTTGCGTTTGGGATACAACCATCTTTTTTGGAGGAAAGTCCAAATCCCCTGTACAGTCCTCCAAATCCACCCGGGAAAACGTGTTCAACTTTGTCTTCCCAGGGTCCCACGAAGAAGTTGGAATTGGATGGAGTAGTTCTTCAGCATCCCCTGAGCAAGTCAAGCTTGCTTTTGCAGGCGTAATTGGAAGCCCAGCATGAGGGATATTCAGTACCCCCTTTTTGGGGGAGGTTGTTTTAAAGCGCTCACTTTCGAACGCGTGGATTTGCCAAAAAAAAGGTGCCAACACTTGGTCTAAGCCACTAAAATGGTCCAAGAACCCCCGTCCGGGAACTCCGGAGATGAGAAAGGGAAAGCAACGTACGGACACCCGGCGCTGGGCTTCAACCGAGCCGATGTAAATCCCATGGCCTCCTTGTCATCTTCCATGGCCATCTGGGTGGCCTGGCGATCTGGCGATCGCGGCGGCCGAGAACTGTGATCGAACATCTGGCGGTGGGTCAAAAATAGGGGCCCAAAATAGGGGCCCAAAATAGGGGCTCAAAATAGGGGCCCAAATGTGGGCAGGAATGGAAAAATCAACTAAAACCTGCAGGTAACCCTGGGTCTTGACTTTTTGAGCCAGACCCATCTGACCCTCAGCTCACTTCCGATCGCGTCCGGCGAAAAGGACCACTGAAAGAGTACGCGAAAAAAAATGTAACAAAGACCAACAGGCGGAAGACCCTGAAATCCACAAACAGCGCAAATCCAAACCGTTTTCTATAAGTCGATCCCAGTTGCAAACCAGGCTAGTAGGTAACCCTTCGCCAATTGACTTTTGGTGTTTGTGTCGGGGGGCAAGGCCTTGGTTGCCCAATATACTGGCAAATGGAATCACAGGGCCAAACATGAAGAGCCGAGCTGTCAAGGAATCACAGAACATGCCACAAGTGATCAGACCTCATTTGTTGGTTGCTAATTATTTGGTACCCGAGTTTTTCAATATGTGGTGTAATCCCAAAGATATCCAACGGCCTGGAACCCTTCAGGAGTGGCTACCCCCCCCTTCCGTTTTGGGGAGGGGGGAACCCTTGCCTCACCTCCCGAGTCTGTCGCGAAAATGGTTCAACGCGAGTTTGTGAGAACTTCCTTGAAAACCAACCTCCACTTGGAGTTGTCTTTTTTGAGTTGGCACCCCTTTTTGCTTGGCTTTAAAGACAAACAACACGAGGACGAAGCCTTTTGTTTCTGTGCCCCACCTTCCGGTTTTGGGTGTGTGGGCTGGGCATGCCCACCTCAATCTGTGCCCACCTCCTGGTGCTCTTTGGACGTGTGCCACTGGGAGCACGGGAAACCGTCGATTCGGCGAGTCCAAAAACGCGTTTTGGGGTCTAAACGGACAAACACCTGCACTGTGGATGGTTGCAAAATCCAGAAAAACCGCAGCACCGTTCAGAATCCCTGGAAACTAAATGACTCCCTGTAAATACCGACAAACGTTATGTATGTATGGATGAGGACACACTTAAAATAGGGATCTTGCCTGATATTGCTCCCAAATCGAGCGGGTAAAAACCGGTTTTTTGTTTTTGCAGTTGGCAGGGTCCAGGTCCTTAGAAGAATGCTGGACATCTTAACCCTTAAAAAAGGGGGTCATTGCCCCAAATTCAGGGGTCATGACCCCTTTTCCTAGGGGTCACGGGGTACGGATTGAATCTCAGGCGGGGTTTGCGGCGACTGCTGCCCTTTTCGGCGACCTCCCGCCGCCATCGGCCCCGCGGCCCCGCGGCCCCGCCCGAAGCTTCTTCTGCATGTCCCCGAGTGCCAGCTCGCGGTTCTTCTCGTTGGTCTCCTGCCGAAAAAGGCCAAGGAACATGGAGGCGAGACCCAGCTTGCCATGGAAATTACAGGCTCACCTTGAAAAAGGGCACATGAGTCACAATCAAAACCCGGTATGAAAATGGCCGTGATCCCAGAACCATGTCAGAATAAGAAGGCGGAATTCCGCAACTATTTCTGGCTGGGACTGCCCCGTACTAACCTTCATTTTACCCCGGGGCTTGAGCACGTGGCTCACATGGGGAAAAAAAACAGAAGCCCTAGGAAATGTGATCCTTTCGGATTTGTTCCACATGACTGTCCTAGCTGGATCCTGATGGGTCTGCCGGTGTCTATGGCTTAATCCACCTAAAGTCACCTTGCGTCCCCCTAGATGACCCCTTCCATTTGCTTTTTCAGGCTTCCAAGACTTCAACTGGTATTTCATTCGACCTGCTCCCTGTGCGCGCTCCTTTTGCGCAAACCTCCCAGGCCAAGGGTTGATTCGCGAGCTCACAGGAAGCGGTTTGGAAAGGGAAAGCCCTGAGGCGAGAGGGAATGTTGACCAGCAAGGGGATGGCTGGGGAACCCACCAAGGTTTGAGATACCCTCGGTTGCTTTCTGCTCTGCTAAAAGTGACTAACCTTTAGTGGTTTAATACGGAAAGCCCATTAATGTTGACCCAGGATCTAAGTAGAACCCGTCCTTTTCACTCGCGGGGGGTGGAAACCCCACCCCTCCCAAAGTGGTCTGAATCCAACCACTAAAAGGAATGGGAAAAGCACCTCCCCGATGAAAATCAACCAGGGGTTCTACTTAGATCCGGGGTTATAACATTAGGGGGAAGCAAATACCTCTAGCGAACTCGCACGGAACGAGGCATGCGTTCTTTTGGGTGTGTTCTTCTTTCAGTTGGTACCTATTCATTGGTTGGCTTTCAAGGGATCCAAGAGAAACAACCCAACGAACCATAGCGGGGTCCAAATCCTAAAAAAAGACACACAGGACCCATCCTGCTTTGCAGGATCCATGGAGCACGGAGAGTCGACTTGGAGAATTTCAGCTCTCGTGGTGCCTGCCTGTGGCTGGCCTGAGGCCATCTCCGAGCCGTCTCCAGCTCCGTTTCACGCGGCTGCTGTTACGCAAACGGACAGAGCATATGGTGTCTTGTGACATGTGCAACCTAGGCTGGAGTTAGGACCTTAGCCAAAAAAACACTTGTTTGCCTGGTTAGTGGAAAACAAAGGGACCCCAAAAAAGCAAGAGAACAAAAAGGGGAGCTAATTATGGGGAAGTAACGTGGCGTCTTTTGGAGGGGGACATGGGGACCCCCCCAAACTGGCGGTTTCCTCTTGGTTTTCCTTTCAAAAACACAACATGGAGTACCCTCAAAAAAAACACGCTTATGTGGGTATGGGTCAACATTTTGCACCACCAGGATATGGACCGCAGGTTAAGTCGTCCTTGTTCCATTTATCAGACCGCAGGTGAAGGCGTCCTTGTTCCATTTATTAGGGCTCAGTAACAAACCTACATGTTTGGAGGAATCTTCGGTTTGGGCAGCGGCGCCCAGGATTTGTTTTTGTCCTTTCTGCCTCCACCCCAAACCATACCTGGCCGACTTAGCAATCTGCTCTACCATGCTTCAACATGTTGGATTCAAATCTGGCCAAATCTGTCTTTGAGACCCTTTACCGAAACTGGACCCAAAAGGGAAACCAAAAGGTCAGATCCGGTCGACTTTGAGCAAGTGAAGTAGGTAACAAAAGGAAACCATCATGAACCGTTCTGGATACAAAACAGCCTTGCTGGCCTCTAGCATAGTGGCTTGCCTGGAAACACTGGCTTGGTTTCCCTAAAACAACACAAGTACCAACTCAAAAAAAAGTGCCAACTAAAAAAAAAAAGGTACCCAAACAAAAAGGTACCCAAACAAAAAGGTACCCTGAAAAAAGGTGCCCTCGCAAAGCAAGTACCCTGAAAAAGCCAACCTCCCCCCAACAAAAACAACTAAGGATCACATCAAAGCTGCAACCTATCGGAAGCTCCTCCCGACGCTTCAGCTGCCGCTCCCCATCCCGCCGGTTTCGCCGCTGACCTGCGCGGAGCTCAGGTCAGGCGCGCCTAAATAGACAAAATCCGCTTGATGCTTCACTGGGCTGCCCGTTTTCAGATTTCCCCGTTTTCAGATCCGCTGCTAAAAGTGTCTTTTTCAAAAAAAAGCTTTAGTGGGTGAAATTCGGAAACCCAACCACTAAACACTAAGAAGCTGAAAAGCTAAGGAATCGGACGGCTGCGAGCCACCAAGTAAAGTTCATGTGTCTTCAGGGAAACCAACAAGGAGTTACCAGCTTGCTGGGAACAAAAATATCCACCCCCCAAATCTTTTCTTCACAACCCTTGGCGTGGGCTTGCAGCAGACTGACTTTCTTTTTCGTTTTGTTTTTTTTTTCTGCAGCTCTGCACGAACAATGGACAGAAGCAAACAAAAGCAAGAATGATGAAGCTAAAGCATCTGGGGGGCAAAAAAACAAAACCTGGAGAGCAGAATACCTTGCGCAGGGGCAACAAAAACTTTGACCAAGAACCTCCTCCTCACCTAAGAAAATCTGGCCAATAATGATAAAGCTACACATCCCCTTTTGGTTGACCGGGCTCAGGGTGCCATTGTTGGATTATCCTCGTAGGTTCCCTCTGTTTTTCTCTCTCTCTCTCCCTCTCTCTCTCTCTCTCTCTGTATATACATATATGATATTCTATGTGTGTGGGCGGGAACACCAGCCAGGAAATGATTTTGGATCGGAGCGCGAGCTTGCAGTGGATATCTGATGGCTCTCCTATACCAAGAGATGGGTCCATGGTTTCAAGGTGGACTCAAACCCCAAAGAACACCTGTGTTAGTTGCTTGGATTCCCATCACTTCGATGGTCTGCAAGAAGCCAAGTGGTTTGCTTTGCCCCTAGTCAACCCCCAAACCTTGCAGACCCTAAGGGTTAGACATCACTCAACTCGAAGACCCTTGCACCGTCCCATGGAACCGATTCGGGATTAAGCAGAGCCCTCTTTATTTAAGCCATTCTTTTGGGGGGTGAGCGCGCAACCCGCCCTGTCAGAGCACCGACGTTGCACATATCGGCACCCTCTTCCAGGTGGTACTAAAGGGCAGACACACAGACACACACACACACACACACTCACGCCTCTTGGGTGATTCCACACAAATCACACATAAGTTCGCAACAAAAGAAGTAAATTGCGACACGCGCACTGTGCTACGCCAAGGGGCTTTGGATAACTTGTTGTTGTCTTTGGGTTAACCTATTGAAGCCTGGCCCAAAACACTCGAAACTTGTTGCTGGAGTCTCCGAATCTGACCCTTTAAAAATGGGCCGGGTCAGTACCCAAAAAATCTGAAGAACACCTCAGCGGCACCCAAGCAGGGCCTTCTAAAGCTTCGATCTCGCGGTTCATGTGGTTCACGTACCTCGAAAGCTGCACGTTGAAGCAAGCGAGTGGCCCAGTGGTTGGTTGATTTGAAACTGCCAACCCCCCCCCCCTCCCCCCCAAAAAAAACAAGGTACACAAAACACACACTTTTCAAAGGGGGTTCAATGGGAAAACAAGACCAGAAAAGCCAACTAGTTGATTTCCATGTGAACAATCAGGGCACGACAAAGACGACCCTAATTGAACACCCTACTGAGGGGCTGGTTGAAGGTGGGCACGAGGACAAAACCGCCGCTCGGCTAGCAGCCAGCCACTTTATGGGGTGTCCCCTAACAAACAAGTCATGTATTTGCTTAAGCCCCCTGAACAAATTAAAACAAAATCCAGTAGTGATGGATTCCCTTCCCAAACAAACCGAAACGCCTACTAAGAAAAGGGAAGTTGTGGGTGTGTGGCACAAGCATTTGGACAGCAGCAAATCGCTGGTTCCCTCCCGATATTCCGGAGATCCCTTCACCTTCGGAAAAGCAGACCATCCCAGTCGCAGGATTTCATTCAGGAATTGGATGTTACCAAAATTTGACTCGGTTGCTTTCTGCTCCCCTGCTAAAAGTTTAACTTTTAGTGGTTTAATGAAAAACCCATTAGTTGGCAAAAAGTTGAAGTCCTAACATCCAAGCAAAATGCACCAAAGAAAAATTGGCCCCGCAAAGCCGGCCAAACAAGCTTCCCACGCACAAAAAACGGAGGTCACGTGAGGAGCGAGAAGTTCCTACTCTCCAGGTGCACAAAGATCTTCACGATCTCCTCGCGGGTGAAAACACGGGGTCCTCGCAAAACCGCCTCCTTACTTCCAAAAAAGTCCAAGCCTCTAGGGGTTGACGCCCCATTCTGCGCAACCATCGTTCTTTCTGAAAACCAAGAGATTCTCCCTGGGTTCGATAGTTTCTGAAAAGATGGGGAGCCCTCAAAAGAATGCTTGGAAGTTACCCTTTGGATGCCTTCTGGTTCCCCCCCAATAATAATGCCCCTAAAAACCCCACACACTCTGATGACATGATAGCTCAAGGCCCTTCAAGTCATTTGTACAGTCATTCGACTCATGGTACGTTGATAAAAAGGCTTGCAGACCGCTTTAAAGGAATCACAGTCAACACAAGCCACCAGGGACAATCCATCCTCCAATCCTCCATATTGGCATATTGGACTCTCTCCGGAATAGATCCAGGGACCAAATCAACGACCTCTACTACCACAGGGTACCAGCTCCCTTCTGGGATAGGCACCCCGGCAGTGGGCCTCACCCCCCCCTCGCCCGAAAACAAAACCCCCCGCCGGGTATGCCCTCACCAAAAAACGTCCAAGCTTTCTGCTGGCTTCTGTTTCAGAGTGACTCGCGTTTGGGAGCGAAGTGCTTTCGTTGCGCCTTGCGCTTCATTTTGTTCGCAACCAGATACTTGCCGCATGCCAATGAGCCACAAATGCCCAGTGACCCAGTTTGTGTTTTCTTTTTTGTCTGGGGGGAGGAAGCATTGGTTTGAGGTATATATTATATAAATATATATATTTATTCCTTCCAGGGGCGGAGAGCAAATGGAGGTTGTGTGGAACCAACCGATCCCTGGCTTCAAGGACCAGGAACTCACTTCCCAAGTGTTTGTTTTTTTGGGGGGAGGGAAATGCAGTTTTGGCGGCAAATCGAACACATGAACGACCTTGCTTTGGCCAATCCACTCAGAGGTAAACAGCAATTCTCCTTGGTTCTGCAGGGGTGTGTTGGTTGGATATTTGCAAATCAGGGAAATGGAATCACGGGCACCATGTGCTGGGATCTCGTCTTGAAATTACTTTGGGTTTGAAGGCTCACAAAATATGGAGCAGAATGCGTCATGTTGAGCAGCTGAAGTTAGCTGATTTAATCACAGGCCCTTCCTTTTGGCAGAACATTTGATGAAAGCTCATCGTGTTGAGACAGAGCCTGCGCCAAGCTTAGTTCTTCAAAGCCGACCGGATCTGACCTTTTGGTTTTCCCATGTTGGGTTCCCATATCTAGTCATGGTCCCAAAAGGCTACCCTTTGATGTCTGGGTCCAAAACTGGGTAATTGAGCTGTTGTGCTTAAAACTAATGCTTACTCCCCCCAGACGAAAAACAATAATCTATCTTAAACACGAAAGACACAGTAGTGATGCGTTTCCCTTCAACAAAAACCAGCAAAAATAAATATAGAATATAACTGGAGCTTTTCCCTTTAAAACCCGCAGAAGAACATATATAATATATTTCCTGACACGCAGATTCCGACACACAAACAAAGCCCCGCTCCGCAATGTCGGAGATGCCGGTGGACTGCTTGATCGTCGCGAAGGCCTGAGGGCTGAGAAGCTGAGCGGAACTGCACCTATGGCCTGCGGGCTGAGTCGGGGTTGGGATCGAACAATACCAGCCGGGCCCCACGTTCGGCAACAAATTCAGGCAGAACTGCCTTGCGTCGCAGCAGCCCTCAAGCCCAGGTCCGGCAGCACGCCGTCCACGGGCTCAACGCCGTCCGCCGGGCACAGGATAGGCAGGGGGAAGGGGGCGTTGGCCCGGCACTGGTTCCGGTTCCCTCCATTTGTCCCTTCAGGAAAAGCAGAGCTTCCATTAGCTGAGAAGTCCCCTGGAAAAAAAAACAATCAAAAAACAACAACAAAAAACATGAGAACATAGTTTCAGTAGTGATATCGATTCCCCCTAAACACCAACAGGGAAAATAACACATGTTTATTTCTGCAAATGGAAGCCATGGTTAAAACCGGGTGGTTGATCCCAATGGATTTTTTCAGGCGCGTGATGTTGTCCATCGTGTACATGCTGACGCGAAATCCGTTCGCACCATGGAAACAAATAAGCTCAGGTGATATCCCCAACAACACTTTCAGCTGTTGGGGAAGAAAAACAACATAACATGTGTTGGTATTTTTGTTGGGGGAATGGCATCATTCCGTTGTGTTTCTGAAAGCTGGCGCGAAATGGACTTCGCAACCATCCACAGTATGGGTGTTTGTTTGTTTGGATGGGCACCCCATGTTGGCAGGTTTTAAAGGGGTCCCCTGCAAACAAGACGCAGAATATGTCAGCTGCCGGGTAGAGCAGGGCCTGCTCTTTGATTTTGATTCGTGTTACTTTGGGGGATCGGCACTTTTGGGATGGAAAACACTCCTTACTATTGAGAAGGACCGGTGTATTAATCCCAGCATTAGGCAGGAAACGAGGACAGAGCGAGGGATAGTCCCAGCATTAGGCAGGGAACGAGGACAGAGCGAGGGATCGCCCACCAAACACAAGCCACTTGTGTCAGTTGCTCACATGTCCTCAAAACCTCCTGAGCTGGCGTGTTCAAACCAAGAAAGAACAACACATACGGAGCCCGAAAGCATCATCCCAAGAACAAACACAAACACAAAATGAGGGAACTCCAAAAAAAAATGAGCCCGTGAGCCATGCAGTTGAATTGAGGACCTAAGCTGGTGGACGACTCCTGTCCACCAGCAAACGGGTGGTTTGCTTGGCGGGCAGGCTCCTTTGGGATTGGACGGGAGAGAAGGTCAGGGGATTGGAGGGGAGGGGGAGGGAGGTAGGGAGGTGTGTGTGTGTGTGTGTTTTTGGATGATACCCTTTTCGGTGTGGTTTTAAACCCCGTGATCGCAATGTACCAGTATATTGGGTATCCAAGGGCTTGCCACCCCTAAAAAGCCAGAGGGACAATCGCTAATTACCTAGTATACTGGTAACTGGGCCATTTCAAAATTTGGCTGTGGCTCAAAATTCAACAGGAGGGGTTGCGCAGGTTTTGGTCCATGTTTCCACTTACCAGGGTTCCATGTTGGCACCAGTCTTTTAGACTCCAGTTGGTTGCGGGCACCTGCTCGAAGATCTCGATGCTCTTCTGATGCTGCCTTAGACCAAACGCAGCGCCCAAGGAAGACTGCGTGGTGGTGCCAAAAAAAGAGGGAGATCCAAAGATGGGGGGGTCGCTAAGGACCAGGTTAGTTGCGGTTCAAAAAAAATGGTGGTGTTAAGAACCCCTATCAGGATGTCTACCAAACACGGTTTGGTCATTGGACCGAATACCATTTTTGTTTCTATCCACAACAGTGTGATCATGTTGAGGACCCCCGTGATGTTGTCTACCCAAACCAGTTTGGACATTGGACCGCTCCATCCACAATGCTTGTCAAGTTGTCTACCCGAAATGGCTGTGGCTCAGCAACATGTACCAAAATAAAATCAAGGAACCAAAGACTGACACCTGCGTAACCCTAGCTCTGAAAAAAATTGAGCCACACCCAAATGGTTTGCTCATGCTAAGGTTCGGCATGGACGCCTTCCGCATCCAGCTTCGCTCCCGTTCCTTCGCTCCTGCCAGGGAGCTTGATGTGGCGCCGCTGGATGCAGTTCAGAAAGGCCGTCTTCATGATGCGCCGCATCCTAAGATCCCCAAGCAAACGCCAGATTGCGGATGGTTGCGAAATCCAGAAATCGCACCAGTTTGAAAGCAAAGGAAACCATAACGTTTGTTGGTATTTACAGGGGAATTATCAGAAACCAGGGTTCTTAGGTGGTGCGGGCTTTCGTCCATCCACAGTAGGTAGGGAATGACAACGTGTCCGGGTTTTGGGGATGAACCTGGGGATTATGAACCTAGGGATTGCCTCGAAGAATATCATAGGGGATGGCGTGGTCCCCGAATTCCCGGATATGGGGATGAACCTAGGGATTTCCTGAAAGGAAGCCAGTGATGGTGTGGCCTTTTGGTTGGTTGTTCAACCCTTGAACTCTCAGCGAAAACAACATGCATCCATGGATAGTTTGGCCTGGTCAAACAAAGGAAACCTACTGTGGACAAAATCCTGCACCAGTTGGTAGGTGGTTCTTGTAGGGGTGCATCTATTCCAACTGGCGCGAAGCGGATTTTGTCCATCCACAGTAGGACCCGAAAAGATCATGCGTCCTGTTTGCCACTAAATTTGTGGTCCCCGAAAATATGATGTCCATCAATTTGAAAGGTGAGCAACCAATCCAAGGGCACTGAAACTATTGCGCTGTGCAATCGCGGAATCAACCAACCTGCCCCCATCCCAGACTTCAACTGCATGTCCATTGGGGGGGAACAAAAACAGCACCTTGCTGACAGTTGATCGCAACCGGCTTCCAAACCCCTTCCTTTAAAGATAAGAAAGGACCTGCCCAGATCATCTGAAACAGTTTGACTGAGGGAACCTCGCTCCAAGTAGGCCAACAGGTGAACATTTCAATGGACCCCAAGTGGTGTCACCATTGTTGCCTCTGGTAGTGGTAACTCTGGAAATTCACTCCATCTGTCCATGACCCTTAAGGACATTTGGACCAAAACCCAGAGGTCGCAATCAAAACCTGGGAGACTAAAATGGTCCCATGTTTTGGGAAGTTCCAAGGCGGGCGCACCTATTTCTGCCTAAAACTGCCCCGTACTAACCCTCACGGGGCTTGCACTTGCCGGTGCGAAAAGTAGGGAATGTGGGAATGAACCCAGGCTTTGGTCCCCTTGAAGGACACATCCTCCAGTTCGATGGTATAGAGTGATTCCATTCTCATTCCCTGCTCCATTTGGTTAAGACCCCTGAACAAATAGCAATATATTTGGGGAAGAAACCATATTCTTGTTCCAGTATATATAGTGATATAGATTCCAACTTTAAAACCAACAAGGGGAAAATAGGAAAACATACTTTCTTCAGCCAATGGAAAAACTCCTCTCCGGCACCGATCGCAAGACTTAAAACCTCTCTGGCACCGAGATCTGATCACTTCTCGGCTGCTTTCTGCTCCCCTGCTAAAAGTGACACGGAAAACCCCCACGAGTTGGCAAAAAGTTTAACTTTTAGTGGTTTACTGGAAAACCCAACTTCGTTGGCCAAAAGTTCTTCAGTCCTAATAGTTAGCCCTTGGCAGAATGCGCCAAACCCGACGGCTCGCCTCTCTGGCACCGAGCTGAACGCACTTCGTTTTTTCACCGATCGAGCTGATCGCTTCGTTTTCCCCAAGGCGCATGGAGGACTCGGAGAACTCCGTCTCCTCCGGGGGCATGATCAAGGAGTTCTTCCGCTGCACGCCCTCCATGCGCTTCAGCCGCACCTCCACCTCTCGCCTCGGGTGACCGGAGAAACAGACATGGAAGAGAAGTGGGGGCGGGTTTTGGTCCTGTCCGGAAAAATCAGAGGCAACAGGTAACGGAAGTGGAAGAGGTGGGGGTGGGTCCTCTCCAGGAATAGAAGGCGTGGAAGGCGTAGAGACTCTGTGTTTGTGTTCTGGACGGTAAACATTTTGAGTGTTAAAGGGACACCAAAGAGAAATCACAAGAAAACCAGCCCTCTTTGGGAAGGCCTGCCCATCTGGAGACAAAGCCAAATGAGCTGAAGGAGCCCAAAACCGATGGCGTTTGGGAAGACTCAAAAGACCGAAGGACCCGTAAAAAGAGGGTCCATTTCCCAAAGGGATTCCTCAAAACAAAACACATGGCTGGCAATGGTTTGTTCTTGGGTGACAAGTTCGCCACATCGGAGCTCTTGTAGACTCCGGGTCAAGGTGCAGGAAACTTTTTGCGTGGGGCTTGGAGCCGAGAAGAAACGGGTCGCGTTCCCTTGCCTTGCCAAGCGGTTGTTGGTGAAAAGAGGGATTCAGGGTAGGGATTAGACCTGGATCCTCAAACTACAAGCACCCTTCAAAAAAAAGACATTGCCCCGCCCCTCCCCCCCACAAAAAAAACAACAAAAACACAATTCAAAACAATATGAGGGACAAACAACATGTTGTTTTGAAGGGGTAGATCTTGCCCCCGAACTCATTGAACAAAAAGGTTTTTACGGGTAGTTTGAGGAAAAACAGTCTTATCTTGGTTGACGTTGGAAGGGGAGCCAAAAAAAAGCAGTTAAGTGGTTGGATTTCAACCACTTAACCCCAATAAGCAAACATGTAAAATGTTTCCCAACAACAACCAGGTGGGAGTTTTTGAGGGTCCAGGGAGAGAGAACCCGCGCGCGTTTTCGTGTTCGGGGCCCGAGGCACTTGTCGGCCTCGAGCTTCCGCAGATCCCGGCGGATGCGCAGGACCTGAGAAGAGTCGAGAGGATGGTGACGCCTTCGGGGTTGGGTCGGACCAGTCGTGACGCTTTAAACATGGGGATCAACCCTAGGAGCAACCCCCATGTGAATTAATGCAAGGAACCAAAGTTTGCCATGGGACCCTTTAAAAATGGTTCGTCATTGCCCAAAATTAAGGGGTGACCCCTTTTTCTAGGGGTCATGGAGACTCTAGGTAGGCTGGAAAAATCGGACAGCAAAAAAATAGGCCTTTTTTGCCTGGTTAGTGGAAAACAAAAGGACCCCAAAAAAGCAAAAAAAAACAACAAAAAACAAGGGGAGCTAATTCTGGCAATCAACCCATTTTGGATTCCGGTCAGAAAGATGATGTTGACACCCATATGGGTGGGGACCCCTCCAAACGTGGTCTGATTCCCCACTAAACCCAGAAATGGACACCCCGCTCCAATTAATAAACAGAGGGTGATTAATATGGGGTCAACATTACTCAAGAGTCGGGACTCCCTGTGAACATCCCAATCCCCACTAAAATAGGTTCTAAAATGGGTAGTGCACCTACCCCAAAATGGTACCATTGGTTTTGACCCACAGCCAAATGGGAGTTGGGGATTTTCCAAGGGCCAACGAAAGTGGCCACCGACAACTCCCAACGAATTCCGCTTGCCTCCTCGGTGAACTGGCGTCGCTCGTCCTCCCTCTGGCGCTGCATCACCTGTCGACGGAGTTGGCGAGTTGGCGGGTTGGAAGGATGGGATAAGGGACCGACTGTGGATGGACCAAATCCAAAAATCGCACCACCCAAGAAAGAATGGCTGGAACCATAACGTTTGTTGGTAGTTACAGGGGAATCTACTCATTCCCAAGGTTTCTTAGGTGGTGCGGGAGTTCGTCCATCCACAGTAGGTGTTCGGAGGTCAGTGACAGGGGAAAAAGGACGCCAGCAGGACATGCCCTAAATGACTTCTGGGCACAGTGGGGCGATTCAGCCTTGCTTAACTGAAGTGTCTGTAAATTCCACACAAAATCTGGCCAAGGCGGATGGCGGAATGGGACGGGAGGGGTTTACCCCCTGCCAATTTTCAACGGAAACCGTAACAACAGATCCAAATTCAAAAGTTAAAAGCAGGTTTTCCAAGAACAAACGTGTAGATGTATGTGTATATGCTTTGAAATTACGCACGTCGTGGTGTCCAAACACCTTTCCGCACGTCTGCTCTTGGGCGCCTTCTCTCTTTCTGCCACGTACAGTTATGCACGTTTGACGATACATGTGGCGAACATGTAGTTCAAGTGGGTAGGGGGCGCGAGCACATGTATATATATGTATATGTATATATATATATATATACATATTATGTGTACGTATGTACGTACGTACGTACGCATGTATGTATGTATTTATGTATGTATGTATGTAAGTATCTACGTATCTATGTATCGATGCATCTATGTATGTATGTGTGTGTACGTCTGTATCTATGTATGTATGTATCCATGTTCCTATGTACCTATGTATCTATGTGTCTATGTGTATATATATATGTATGTATGTATGTATGTATGTATGTATGTATGTATGTATGTATGTACGTATGTATGTGTGTGTGGTTGTTTGTTTGTTTGTTTGTTTGTTTGTTTGTTTGTTTGTTTGTTTGTTTGTAGGTATTTATGTATGTATAAATGTATGTATGCATGTGTGTATCTATGTGTGTGTGTGTGAATGTGTGAATGTGTGCATGTGTGAATGTGTGCATGTGTGCATTTGTGCATGTGTGTATGTATGTATGTGTGTGTGTGAATGTGTGAATGTGTGCATGTGTGAATGTGTGCATGTGTGCATTTGTGCATGTGTGTATGTATGTATGTATGTATGTATGTATGTATGTATGTATGCATGCATGCATGCATGTATGTGTGTGTGTGTCTGTATGTATGTGTGTATGGATGTATGTATGTATGTATGCATGCGTGTATGCATGTATGTATGTAGGTATGTAGGTATGTAGGTATGTAGGTATGTAGGTATGTAGGTATGTAGGTATGTAGGTATGTAGGTATGTAGGTATGTAGGTATGTAGGTATGTAGGTGTAGGTATGTAGGTATGTAGGTATGTAGGTATGTATGTATGTATGTATGTATGTATGTATGTCTGTATGTATGTATGTATCTATGTACTTATGTATCTATGGATCTATGTGTTTACATGTGTATGTATGTATCTGTGTATCTTTGTATCTATGTATATATGTATGTCTCTATGTCTCTATGTATCTATGTCTCTATGCCTCTATGCATCTATGTATCTATCTATGTATGTATGTATGTATGTATGTATGTATGTATGTATGTATGTATGTATGTATTTAGGTATGTAGGTATGTAGGTATGCAGGAATGTAGGTATGTAGCTATGTAGGTACGTAGGTATGTATGTATGTGTACATATATAATATGTATACATTCATACATGTGTAAAACAAAGTACTCTTCCCATCTGCATGAGGGTAACGGAAGATGACTTTATTTTTAAAGAACAAGCCCTTTTGTCAGGTCCTACGTTTAAGCAACGGTCGAAGTTGTGTGTTGCCCCAAGACATGTGACACTTTGTGAGTTCGCCGGTTGTTTGTTGGCGAGACATTGAGCGCGTCCCCCTATGTTCCTCCCAAATGGCCATATGGATTTGCTTCAAATAGGGAAATCCCCCAAAATAGGGGTCCTTTAGTGTCCGCCTGCCAGAAGCACAACTACTATACATATATATATATATACCTAGACTCCCATGACCCTTAAAAAAGGGAGTCATTGCCCAAAATTAAGGGGTCATGACCCCTTTTTCTAGAGGTCACGGAGAGTCTAGGTATATATATATATATATATGTCTACCACACGCTTCCAGCGTGTAGATTCGAAACTCCCGCGTGCCTCGACGCGTTGCTCGGTCTCGGCGTAGACTGCCTTGCTTTGGGCAGCCTCTTCCACAAAGTCTCGGATCTGGTCGGAGCGATGGGAGATCTGAATCCTGAGCCCGGCCGAAGGCCGGGGCTAGTTCGATGAATGTGAAATGGAATGACTCGGAAGGGGACCCCCAAATAAAGGAAACCAGATGGATGGTTTCTAGGGATGAATAAACATCTGCCCTCAGAATCTTGAGGCATGAAAAGCACGTGGTTTTGTTTTGCCAGGGGATAAACTCATCTGCCCTCATCTTGGGACCTCAACAAAAAAGGGGTTACTAGGCAGAGGGTAAACTTCAATGGACATGATTAGAGTCAGGCCCAGTTAATCCTGAGCCAGGGGATAAATTCATCTGCCCTCAGGATCTTGGGACCTCAAAAAGGCCGGGTTTTATCATGAGCCGGATAAATTCGTCTGTCCTCATCTTGGGACCTCAAAAAAACGGAGCCTTTTTTGAGGTCTAATATCTTCCAATGGATCCATGATTAGAGTTCGGCCCAGTTATAGAATGTATATTGTATTGTTGGTGGAAAGGATGCAACATGTATCCTAAGGGCGGAGATCCAGCAATGATGAGGGTGGGTAAAAACTCTTGCGCCCAAGTTCTTATTGAAACCACGCATTTGTCCAGGGGATTTGCTTCCATTTGCTTAAGCCCCTGGAAAACATAACATAGGTCCAGTAGTGATAGTTAACACCAACAGAGGAAAACTCAATATTCTCAAACGAATGCAAGCTTGCCCAGCTTTAAAAAACAAAAGAAACCTGAAGAGAACGGGGAGGGTGCTAGAGAACTGCCCTCCACCTGAAAAACCTGCCCCGGTCGGGAGGCTTGAGGGCAAGAAACCTAGACCGCATTTGCGGAGCAAAATAATCACGGTACGCAGAGCCTCTCGTTGTTTGTACCACCCCAAAGGGCACCTTCGGGGGACCCGCTCTCCAACAAAGTATGAACAGTTGGCAGATGTTGGCAGTTGATGTTGAAGGGGGAAGCCCCTCCAAACGCACCGCCATGAACCACGTAGGGGTCTACTGATCCATCGTTGACAGAAGGCTCGCACCCCGGGGGGAACAACGAGTTGGCTGAAAGCCAAGGCACTTCAATCGCTGGAAGATGAAGCCCAACTGGCGCTTGCACTTCCTCGGAAGCAAAGGGTGATCGGGGCCAAGCCAAATGGGTGTGTCACCTCGTTCTTTTTGTTTACTGAGGGAACCCTTAAGAGGGAAAGGAACCCCCTGCCATTTCTTGAGGCAAGGCTCCGCGGGGGGGGGGGGGAGGCCTTTGAGGCAGGGTCTCCGAACAGTCGCAGGGAGCGGGAGACATACTTCGCTGAAAATACTTAGCCAGTGGGTAATCTGGTAACAAAGTTAGGGAATCAAGCAGGGTAAAACTGGGTCACAACTACAGTTCTTACCACTTAGATAGCCAAGTTGCCGCTTTTTTCACTCACTGTTTCTGGTTTTTGGGGGTCAAGTGCATGGACAAAAAGCGATCGCAACTGGCGATCCAGGCACTTCCTAGCTGCACTTACTGACTGACTTCCATTTGGTTAAGACCCCTGGACAAAATATACAAATATTTCCTGTAGTGATATATTCCCTTTAAAACCAACAGTTGAAAAAAACAAAACAACTTTTAAGCAAATGGAAGATGAAAAAAAACAAAAAAACGTAAGAGTGCGCCAGCTAGCGGCCGAATTTGCTGAACATCCTGCTTGAGGCCGTCGTTCTCATGGCGCACGGTATCCAGCTTCCTCACCTGCCAAGCAAAAGGCGTCATTCGTGTCGCGTCCTTTATTTTTCTTGTTTTTTTTCTTTATTATTTTTATTTTCTTCTTTTTGCTTCTCTTGAATTTCCTTTGTCTTAAAGATATTTTCTTCTTTTTGACTAGGTCCTCCAGATTTGAGAGGCTAGAAAAAGTTGGTTCCCGATTTTATTTCTGTAGTCTACTTTAGTAGGGGAACCCTCAACCAAAAAAGGGCACATTTTCTGGGCTGCCCGTTTTCAGATCCCCCGCTAAAAGTGAATAACTTTTAGTGGGCTAAATGGAAACTACCACTAAACACTAAAAGGCTACAAAGCTAAGAGGATGGCTGGGAACTAAGTTGTTTGAGGCTTCGGACTGCCCCCGAAACGGCGAAACGGTTTTCCTCTGGGTGTCCCCTTTGAAACCCGCACAAAAACGGAAATTACCTGGACCCTCAAAATACCCTATGGTTGATATTGCAACAACTATGGCTGGTACAGTCCCTTTTGCTGCGTAGTTTCTTGGGCTCCAGGTACCAACTCAACACCAAGACAAACGCTGCCGGCATAAAGAATTCACCCAACCTGGCAAAGAACACCACAAGGTCCAAGCAGTTCTTTTGGCCGCCCAAACAATGGCTGTGAGACAAACATAGCGCCCTGGTGGTTTAATTTTGTCCCAAACCCGAATGGGTGTAGATTTCAATAGGGGACCCCTCTGAGTATTAGAATTCGCTGATTCACGTCCACTTGTGAGATTCCAACTCTCCAAGCGTTCGTTTGCAACTGCAACGCACATTCTTTGCAACGGGATTCCCGTCCCCGCAGGGACGCCACTTTCGGCCGATTTGTATCCAAGACTCGCCGTGGATGTTCACAGTTGCCTAGAGTCTCCGTGACCCCTAGAAAAAGAGCCCATTTGACCCCTTAATTTTGGGCAATGACCCCCCTTTTTTAAAGGTCATGGAGAGTCTAGGTGCTTGTAACTTACAGGCAAGCCACTATGGTCTGTGTCTCTTGGGTACTTTTACCTCTGGGTTTTAAATGATCGGTTCACCTGGACGTATAGTGAGCAGCTTGCCTTAAAGCACTGAAGGTTCGACCCACTTCAAGGTCCCCTAAAAGTGAACAAAAAGAACCCTGGTAAACAGTCGAGAATCGCCTACCACTGACTAGCTTGGCCGAACATCCAAGTAGCCTCCCTCGTCAAATCCGCCACTTGAGGGGTTACCTAGGGTTTGAGACTAAATTTTAGACTCTCCCCATGGCACGGAAGGCCGGGTAGGCCAATTCTGCAAAAGGAAATTGGGCTTACGGGTACCCTTCTGCAGGTGTGTTAGTGCGAGCAAGCAGAAAGCGCGGGCCCTGTGAGAGCCACACAATGGCCAAATACTTACCCCTTAAAACTCCAAGGATTGGGGAAGTTTTCATCTTTTACAGATATATAGCCCATGTTACCCAAAAAGTTACGAAACGTTTTGTGTTTTTAAGAGGTAAGAATACTGCCAAGTCCCAGGACATTCATCCGTTGGCTGAACAACATCAGCCCTGAAGAAGGATGCCGAAAGAAAACCGGGAGAATAGTGGCCCAGGCTCCCTGAAACCTTCTGAATGTTGCCTAAAGGAACCCTACCGAAGCCCTTTTGGGGGGCCAGATCCTAAAACAGACAAACCCAAATGCGGAAATGCAACGACTGGATAACGGTGATCCTTTTTACACGGGGCCAGTGGGTGACTTTCAGGTTTAGCCCTGGGTCTGAAGCGAAGCTGGGTGGCAAAGTCATGCAAGCCAGGGAACGCAAAGAACGCTCCAATCAAATGGACTTGTTGTGTTGCTTCCGAATCACTAAGCGGCCGGCAAGTTGTTTCCAACAGGTCTTACACAGGGATCCTTACATTATACACCTGAACATTGCAACTTGTAAATGGTGGCTTCCCTGTGAGTTGAAAAAACAACATGTAACTCAAATGGGTTTTTTCGGAGCCCTGTTACAGGGCTCGTTTTCTATTTTTCCCCTTAAACCATCAGTTTCAAGGGATCCTCACCTCTGGGCCAAAACCTTTTGGTCAAAAGGAAGGCTGGCGAAAAAACCACCAAGGGACTGAAAAGGTACTGGAGTCTCCGAATCTGAGCCATAAAAAATGGTAGTGCCCCAAATTGAGGGCTCATAACCTCTTTTTCTAGGGGTCAGAAGGAGACTCTAGGTACCCCTGTCTTAGGCGCAGGTCGCACCCTTCAGACCAGTTTCCGTGCCTGGTAATCCATCTGCGCCACCAGCTGCTTCATGGGCACCAAACCCACCTCCTCCTCTTGCGGCACTGCCGTGATGGTCGCACGGCCCTCGTCAGACGCCGCGAGATTGGCAAAGGGCATGGGTTGAGGGAAGGCGAAGACCCCACCAAAGTTCCATGATGTGATCCGAAGGTAGGCTTAAACCCAGGGCCCGGGGCTGGTTGATCTTGATACCCTTCCCCTCCCCCGGCAAAAAAAATCTACAAGTTGGTGTGGATGTTGTCAGTCCCAGATTCTGCTTCAATACCCGAAAGGATCACATGAGGGTATGCCCAAACAGGTTCCCCCTGTGGCTTCCCTCCGGTTCCCCGCTTTAAACCCA